AATAAAAATTCTGTTATTTGGACATAAGAATTCATAATGTAATAACTTTTTTAATAAGCTCGCAAGATTCCTAATTTTTTTATTAAAATTACAAAATTCTCTCATTGTTGCATTCATATTTTTCATAAATGAAATAAAAATGCTGTTATTTCGACATAAGAATTCATAATGTAATAACTTTTTTAATAACCTCGCAAGATTCGTAATTTTTTTACTGTGTTTTATTAATGTAATATCTAGTACTTATTAGAATTTTAATGCGTCGTCATGGTTTTTATGTAAGGATTCATACAACCTTAATTCGCCAAGCATCGCCGCGTATAGATACTTCACGTAGTTATATTATATAATAGTAAAAAAGCGAGAGCTAGATAGACACAGAGGGAGGGAGAAGCGGAAAATAAATACGAAAAACGTGGAATTGTTGGATCGATGATATCAGCGTCCGTTATTTGACACGTTTATCCGGGTACAATTCCGATTCTCGCGAACACGAGCCAGCGTGGCTGAAAAAATATAGGGACCCGCGCGTTACTTTAATTCGATTTCGTTCGAATGAATAACTGAATAACTGGATGACTGGATAGCCGAATGGCCGGTGTCTAAGCAGGATAGACGTAGGTATCCGGAATCTAGCGATCGAATCGTTCGTTTACCTTGTGATATTGACAGAACGTCACGATTATAGGTAGACACACTCCCGGCGCTGGATTCTTATCTTCGATCGTAACTGGAGCGCGTTCGGTGAACGCGATTTTGTTCGCGTAGATCGGCTTGTTCTCAGGTCCTATAATCGTCTCCGGGTACGCTGCGCGTAATAAATTTTTCATTGAATCGTTCCGAAATCTGTTGATCCGCGCATTCCGCCTTTGCATCTCTCTTATTGATCGAACGCGTAATTTCAATTGCAGAGTTCGATATGCATGCGAGAGTAAACGTTTACTTACATCTGACATAAATGGCGAGGCCTCCGGCGATGATCAAAAGCGCGACGGCGTTGAAAAGTACTTGCACGAATCTAAACCGCAGCCTTCCGTTAGTCACGTAGTGACTGCTGGTCATATCCCGAATGATCTAAAAGCAATTAGGAAAGAATCGTCCCAATTCGAGAGAAGTTTCGATTCTCGTTTCACGTTGCGCCAACGTGTTTTCAAGAGCTAAGATGCGATCCGCAGGAAAATTCGAATTCGAGTGTACAATCGGCTATTCGTTGGAGGATCGATCGTTTCACAGAAAACGGTGAGAGTTCTCGAGTATCCAGCGAGTAGCCAGCAGCCTAAGTAGCCGAACATTACGTTCGGTCAATTAACAGAACTTCGTCTTAAGATAAAACGGGAGAGCCTGTAACTAACATGCGTCTCTGGTATCAAGCATGCCGCGCCCTCGCGATTAATTCCATGTTCGACGAGTCAACGTACTCGTCGCGGAACATTCGGTTCGGTTGTCGGCCGATATCGATTATAATTTCCTCGCGGTCGCATCGCACTGAACGGCGGCGAATTACGTTACTTCTCCCACATCCTCGCTCTTCCGGACCCTATCGTTGTTCGATTTCGCTCTACGTATATACCTAAATATCTACATACATTATTCGGTTTCCACCGATTTTCAATTCGTTATTTTTTTTTATTTATTAAAGCGTTTACTCGCGATAGTCGAGAATCTTTACGTGCAATGTAAGGAGTAGGTGCTCATGGCGAATAAGTTGGAAGGGCGTTCGCGTAACACCATTAAAATAACCGATACGACTCGAGGACGGGAAAATATGTGGTCCGACTTCCGCGATCGATCAAACAAAATCGACGCGAAACATATTCAGACTTCCGCCCGATCTATCGAATCGGCGCCTCTCGATTTGACGAACTCGACCTCGAATCCGTTTTGAGTAGGTACGCGAGGATCCTTCGATGCTTAATTTCGCCCATCTATAGGTGTCTATATTCACCAGTACCCAAGCACCCACCTATCCACGTATACGTACGCGATTGTATGCCTCAAATTCTCTCGTTCGTTTCTCTCCGGGTTACGTAATAACTACCGACACCGTGGGAAACGAATGCAATCGATAAGCGGGAAGTTGCGAGCGCGAAAGAATTAACGGTGCGCGGCGCCGCGCCGTTCTCGTCGTTACCTATACATATTGTACGCTGTACACTTGCAGAATACCGGAACGGATCGAGGCGATGCGAGTAGTCATTCTCGAATTACCTTGTGACGAAGGGAACCGTTGTTGCCACCGTGTACGCGGACGATCGTCTGCAAGCTGGCCGGGGTGCTGGTTGACTTGGTGATAGTGCGGCCGGATGCGTTGTCCGGTTCCGGCACTAAAGCTCTGTCTGCAATTTCACCGATAGAACAGTCGATTTCGTAAACCTTCGTTCAAACGCAAAATATTATTTACTTAATGAAATGTTCTCAATACGGAGAGATATGGTGGATTTCCCTTTAGCTGGCGAACGGGGTAGGAGGGACTGTTGGAGAAGAGTTTCCTAAAAGGAGAGTAAAAAAGTGAATCTGGAAGAGGAAAGGAAAGGAGAAGGATAAATGGGAAAAATGAAATAAATCACGAGAGCAGCAGAACGTGTTCGATCGACATTTCAATTACTTTCGACTTTTTCAATATTTTTTAGTTAGGTGTAATTAAATTACACAGTTTCGGTACGATTTAGTGAATTGTCGAGTCGAACAGTCGATGGAAAATCACTGACATTTTGAAAACCCGTCCGTGTTTCGATAAAAAATATTGAAAACTAATGAAAACCATTTGGAACGATGGGAACAGTGGAGTAATTCTTTGTTCGAAAGCTTTTTTTCTCACGCTGCGATCCGTCGCGAGAAATTTAACTTCACTCAATCGATTAGAATAACTATAGGTAATAAAAAAATAAATATTGATTATAATTGAATAAAAAAATAAATATTGAGATAAAATTTGGCGAGAACAAGTAAGTAGGTACACGCGTACCTGGAACTTTTCCGTATTTGTGGGGCAGAAGCGGGGCCTCCATGGTTTTGCTTGTGTAACTTGGCGAACTCGTCTGACTAAAACTATCCGAAGAGACGTTGCTGTCCTGTCTGACGCTGACTGGTTTCGGCATGGAACTCTGAGAAATCGCGCTCAACGGTGGTGGTAGGTTCGTCTGCGTCGCTTTCGGCAGCTTCTCCAATTTCTCGCACGTTCTTTCCTTTCGGAGATTTTGCTGCTGCTGAATATTCCTAGTCCTGTCCGTGTCAATCTCGTATTTTCCTCGCGGCATCGTTGCCGTGGATCTCTGTTCGGAACGCAATCGTCTCTCGAGCTCCTGCGACGCTCTCCGAAGCTCCTCGTACCTATATTTTTTCCCGAAAATAAGAGGAGAAGCGAACGTTCCGGGTAAAAGTTTAACTGAAAGTTCTTATGATGAGAGCGAAACTCGAGAATCGCGAACAGTATTAGTAAGTGAATGATCACGATTATATTATCCGTTGAACTCGCATGAATTGGTACGTGTAAGCGAGAAAGCTTTAACTTTGAAAGGAGCAGCCGTCGTCGTATTTACGTACCTGTCGACAACGGGCTTCTCCTTGTTCGTTCCGTGACTAGAAGGTGCCTTCTCCTCTTCCGCTTCCTGCACCTCCTCCTCTTCTTCCTCCTCTTGCTCGTCGTCGCCGTCTTCCTCGTGAAGCCGTGTCTCGAGCTTCTTCGATGCTGCCTGAAGCTCTTCGAATTTGCATCTCTTTTCCGTCTCGCGTCGCATCTTCATTAGAGCAGCAAACTTGTTCTCGTCCTCCTGTAGGGCCTCCTTTCCCCGGGGCGGTATTATTTTCTCCCGAGACTTCGTGTCCGTAGTATCGTCGCGGCTGTCCACGTTGCCCTCTTTTCCCATCTTCGACGATTGAAGCCTGTCGAACGAGCGGGCGAGAGGGATGATGAAAACGTTTCTTGGGGGAAAAATATTAACAACAAAAACGGTGAAGAGAAAGCGTGTTCACCCAATTGGATACAGCCGTGCCAACTGTTGGCGAGGGGCTAAACTCGGTAGGAAAGTTTACCCGAAACAAGTTCCTTTTAGAAGTGGCGCGCTTTAGCCCGAGTATCGTAATTGTAATCGTGCTAACAATAAGTGAGGACGCGCATAACTCGACTTACCCATTAGTTTGCGCGTTCGTCGAAGCTCGCCTTTGTCCGGGCTCGGCGGTACTCTTCACGATTCTCTCGTGCAGTATCTTCTCGAGGTCGCGCGAAGCTTTTTGGAGCTGTTCGAAGTTCGACTTTTGTGAATCATTGGCGAAACCGAGCTTATCGAAATCCGCCACGAACTTGTTCTCCGCTGGTCCACCCGAGTTCGATGCACACTGTCGATTCTCACAGTTGGCTTTTGGCCGATTCGGTTCCTGTCGCTGGGTTCGACACGGGCCGAGATCGATCAATTCTTCATTGGCGAAATCGTCGCGGGAGGTAGGAAGCGCGGGTTTCGCGTCGTTCGGTGGCGTCCGCGTGTTATTGGATCGTTTTCCTCGATCAACCTGTCCTTTCTGTCCCGTCGTCGTCGTCGTCGTCGTCGGAAATCGTATAGGGATCGGTTTCTCGTTTTTGCTGCGTTTGGGGATCGCCGGTGGCCGCAGCGGTATTGGTGGCGGAGCTACCTGAAGGATCGACAAATTTCCCGATAGGATTTTCATTCGCGTGGGCGATGCGTGCGTGCGTGCGCGTGCGAGCGACAAATTACTACTGTGCGCGCATATACGCGTGTATCGTACGAGCCAGAGCCAGAGCCGAAGTCGACTCGAGGGATCGCGATGCGTTTAGCCATATAGCTTAGGAAAGATGAAGCTGCGCGTATAGCGAGGCACCTCGCCGTCGTTTGCGTCTTATTGCGGAATAGACTAATTGAACGTTGCCTGCACCTTTGATACGGCTAGAACTTGCGACTAGACTATACCGTCATCGCGAACGAGCCCGCGCGGTCCGGGCATGCTGTTTCGTGTGTGTCGCGCGGGGGCCGTTGGATCTACGATGTCGACGAGAGCGCGCATCCCGGTTCTGCAGAAAATTTATTTCATTTTACGCGTTTTATGTTTCACGATAACGCGGACGGATAATTCCGTCCGTTCGGTTCGTCGAACGACGTCGAATCTATAGGTACGTACAGGAACGTGAGTGAAGAGAACGAAATACAGAACCGAACGTAAGCCGACTTACCGTAGGCGTAGCGGAGTGTCGACGCGGTATCGGAAGTGGAACGGGGCTTCCCGTGGTCGAGGGTTCCCGAACCAGGGATGTGTGAACCGGCAACCCGACGCTGTGAATTCTATTCTGTCTGAAATTGTACGAGAAAATATTTTAAAAACGAGGTACCGATCGATCGATCGATCGATCGATCGATCGAGCGGTGAATTTCAGGTTCGAATCAAGAAAAATGCGCGCGAGAAACGAAAAATCAGAAATTCAATACGGATGGTGTATGGGTGCGCGTTTTTTATTTTATAATACCGCGTTCATTTTAACGAGTAGAATAACGAAAATGAAGAACAGCGTTTTTAAATGGGAAATCTTGAAACTGGAAACCTCGTGGTTACCTTTACATTATACGCCGCACGTGTCGCGTTCTCGTTTTCACGAAGGGCGAGTTTTCTACAGCAACTTCTCTTCGTTCCTTTTTCCAGAAAATAGGTCGTAGATTGTATATCAGAGCCGAACGGATTAAGAACAATTAAACTGGGCAAAATTATTCTACCGAATAATTATCGAGATAGAAACACGAGTGAAATTGAATCGACTTTCAAAGAGCTCTCGACGTTCGAACACGACTAACGATAACGAATGGAGTGGGATTAATTCTCAATTACCTTGGTTGACGCTTGGGACTCGTATCGCCGCCGTGTACCTCCGTTCCCGACGACATCTTAAGCGCTGCAATCAACCGGAAAGTGTCTGGTATTATTAGTATCGATCGGGGTGAATCGGTTGCAAAATACAAACGACTAAGGATAAAAGAAAGAATGTCATTTTGTTTTGCTATCGAGCTAAAGCGGTACACAACCCATTTCTTGTGTTGACGTATCGGCTCGGTGGTTATGACATCTACACCCTTCCACGGGCAAACGTCGCGCCGACTTTGTCGAAACGTGCATCCCGTGTTCCGCAGGAACGGCAGCAACTCGTGTGCCTAGAACGCCGCGAGCAAATTTCGACTATGTACCGAGTGCTGAGTCTCCCTATCCTAGTCGGAGGATCGATGCCGAAACGGAGTCCATCCCCGTATCTATCCCAAACTTTTCCATAAGTAAATGTTCATACTTCGTGTAAAACCAAAAAGAAACGCGCCGTGTTAGCACCACGACAGCCCACTACCTACTTACTTACAAAAGTACCAATCTTTTCTTCCTTTTTCGTAAAACGTTTGAACGCGTATGAATGATACCTATCCGTATCGTACGGAATGTACAGTAACAGCACAGACACGTGTAATCGTTAGAAAAGAATAGGGAAATGGACGATGAATTCCTGATTATTCCATTGATTCACGCTCGGGCTATGGCGCGGACAAAAGTTTCGAGGCGAAGCGGTACGAGTACGAAGCTTTGTCCTCGCTGCACCGGTGTATGCGCGTGGATACGCGGACGGGCATTCGACACAATGAAGCTAATCAGCGACGATAGCTGTAAGCAACTAAGCAGCTCATTCATATGCAACGTCGTCAATGAGAAACACGAGCACGTCGCAACGGCGAAGATCAATTTGACGAACTAGAAGTGGACGTTCGTTTTCTAAACTTTGTGACCGTATCGCGATCGCGCGAAACAGATCGGCGAGTGTGTTTCGATTCCCGCGGTTGAACTTACCGATTCGTATCGACGAGGCTTATCGATACGCGTTCAATTAGCGAGTCCGCGTAACGAGTGCGTAATCGAAAACCTCAGCTCGAGACTCGAACGTAATGCGTATATACGTACGCAGTAACGAGATTCGCTAGGTAGCGAAGCTAATTACGCACCGCGTTGGGCGATTAATCGAAGAAGGGTAAAATACGCGTGTGGCTTAATCGATCAGAATGGTGATGGAACGGCGGTACGGCCTGTCAAGGAAAATAGGAATACGCACATATGTTCGTACGTATCGCGTATTTATGTTGCAACCGCGTATCCGCACCCTCTTACTCCTACCTCTACTTCCTTGCCCTCCTACCCTAAAACCTCTTGACTACTGCAGACTTTGAGACGCACCGGCTGTACCATACGGTAGAAATTTAGTTACGAGTTACACCGAGAACGACGAAATTTTGGATAGGAATGCACTTTTGAGAAAACGTATTTTAATAATAAAAAAAACTGAATTTCAATACTTTAAAAGAATATCAATTACTTCTTTGTATTTTGAAAAAAGAATTTAAAAAATGAAAAGGCAACCGCAATGAGATAAGCGGTTATAGACGCTCTCGTTATAGTGTCGCAAACGCAAAATTCCTAAGCGCCTACAATAGCCTAGGGGTTAATGTCGAAATTGAACAGCATCGCGTGGTTTAAGTTTGCCGTCGCACGCGTCGTGCGCCACGCGCTGCTGTGCGCTGCGGTTGGCATTTTAGCAGTAGTATTGGTCGCTTTGACGGGACTCGCGGTCCTACAAATATTTCTTCATGATTCCGGACGGTGTCCGTTATTACTACACGAATGCTCGAAATTACATTTCAATGGGAATACAGACGAAACGTCCGTGAACGCGTTTCATTTATCGAGATCGGTACATGGTATCTACTACATATATGAACGTGTAAAGTGCGACTGTGTCGATATGAATTCACCCATCCTTCTCTATTTTCGAATTCAGCTGCTGTCCAACTCAATTTCAACGAAGCACGCCGGCACGTTTCGACGGTTTATTTATTCATTTATGTCATACGGTAGTTTACAATTAGTATTTGTATTGCTCTGCCTCAGCCACGTGGCTCCAGCTTTTGGATCCCATGATCCACGTTGAACGTTACATAGGGATGTGGAGTATCGACGATGGAGTACCTAAGTACATACGTCGAACTACGGGATCGACGAAGTAGAGCCGAAGCGCGATTTGCATACGATTATGCACACGTACGCGTATAGAGCGTACTTTCGACTCGAGGAGAACGTGGCAGGAAGCGTTTCCGTGATCTAATCGATCGCCTCTATTCTTCTCCGTGCTTCTTCCTTCGATTTTCATCGGTCCGGGCTCGCTAACGTGAATTGAAGATTCGAGAATCCGTCGACGATCGCGATACGTGCTAGAGAGTGGAGCTACTGATATGTGGTATGCACAGAACGCAGGAACAGATCTTAAGACGACGTTCGGACGACTCGTTGTATCGGAAAATATTCTGAATCCTTCGAGAGTCATCTAGTTGTATGTACGAAATGCGAACTACGCCGGTAATTTACGTTGGCGAGTGGGTGTAGCCATGACGAGCCTTTGACAGGTACTAGCGTGGGATTTTGGAATGATGACTGAAAAATTTGTATCGGTTCGTAGAAAAGATGCGAGATATTCGGATTTAATTGGCGTTTATGTCCCCTGCCGGCACGGTATGACGATCGAAATACTGTTATTTCGGTATATCCAACGATTAAGCTTGATAGACTCGTAAAATAGAAGCGATTAGCCAATTAGGAGATTCGAATTAACGCTATTTCGTACGAAGAATTCTAAAATAGTGTATGAGGAGATGATCCCGCGAAAGGTCGAGTAATTTTCGTTTAATTCTAACGCGAAGCTATCGATGACGCCGGAAGGAAGAACGCGTCCACGTAAAGTGAATCAGTAACGATTTCATCGGAGCCGTCGACATCGCGACGCATCGCAGGAGATAAAAAATAAACGAACGCGTTCCGGCGCGGGCAAGATCATAAATCAACAGGGAATTGGAGGAGGAAGAGGAGAACGGTCATAAATCAGGTTACAACTTTTCATATTTATTTCACGGTCCAAGCCTGATCGGTAGTGCGCGGATATCGGTGACGCTTGGACCCACCTAGATTCCCGTCAGTCTATTTTTGTTCGAATATCCCGACAATTTGCGATTCGTCGCTCGCATCAACTGTGCATAGGTACACATGACCAATTGTAAATGTACTTGCCTGAACAAACCGATTATTCCGATCTCGTAATACGCTGTGTAAATTAGAGATTTGTAAAAACAACGTATCTACTCGAATATGAGAACGCGTATCAATCTTCGTGTCGTCGTCGCGGATTCGAAACTGCGGGTCGACGTTGGCCACGTTCTCGGAGCGGCATCGATTCCGTTGCCACCAATTGCTATAAAATATGACGCGGTGTCATCTTTATACGGTGGTAAACGCGATACTTGGCGGTGACGGACTCTTTTAACAGTCTACGTTCTACCTAGCGCGGATGGCATCGATTTTTGCGTGAGGTCCCGGGTATTCGACTCGCGTCTAACCGCAAAAAGGCAAAAGGAACTCGTGTTGGAAGCCTTTCTTCTGTTCTCTTTAGACGAAGAGCAAAACAAAAATGAAAAGAAAAAGGAAACGAGCAAAGAATGTTGACAACGGGATGAAACAAGTGCTTATATGAAGTAATGCGCATACATGGATTTAACTCTTGCAAAGAAGGTACAGTTATAAGAAAAATAAAATAAAAGGAAAATGAGGAAACAAAGAATTAAAAATTATGCCTGCACCATCGTGTGATGTATGTTCAACAAGGAGAATAGAAGAAAAAAGTTGTCCCGAAAGTTTAAATGAATTCTTATTCCAGGTTCCGAATTCGTGCCTCGAACTTTCTAGGACGAATTCTTTAGAATTTCTGAACATCGTCGATGTGTGACGAAATTTTTGCGATATCGGTTGGGTGAAAAACGCGCGGTACGTTCGATCGAGCTCGAATAGGTAAAAGATCGTCTCTTGAATAGTCGACGATGTCCGCTCCCCGTATCTAGACCCTCCGTTTTATAATGTAACATTGCGTGTATGCCATGTCTTCCACGCGGCTTTTCAACCTCGACTCGGCGACGGACGCGCGACGTCTTTCACGTTTTCGCCTGATATCTTGTCCGCTGTCGATCAATCATCGACGATGCTTTATACTCCTTTTCGGAAATTTTTCTTCATTCAATTTTCGAAGAAATATGTTACATGAGAAAACGGGGTTGAATATCCAAAACGCCAGCATCTCGTACTAAGTGATCCCCGATTGCTATATTCGCGGCTACGAATTACTTAATAGGTGAAACTAATAGAGCTAGCAAGATATATGTACGTGCTTATGAACTTAGAATGTAACGGCTGGAGTAAGGTATAAATATAGCAGTGCGACGGATCGTGCGTTTACCTCGTTATCGGAAGATTACGCGTTGAACTTTGCTTTGCGAACGTAGTAAGAAGATTAACTCAGGTAATTGCGTTCCTGCCCTCGAATCGTCGATAAAAAATTCTGCTGCTCTTACTCGTGCTCGAGATTCGTTGACCATGCTACAACTTACAATTCGATCTTTGTACAACTGTCACATGATCGCATCGAACTATTCACGTTCGTCTTTCCCTTAGCTTTCAGCAAGGTTCGATGCTCGAGTACGCGAAGTTCGCTAATTAATCCCGTTCATATGCTATAACCGAGGTCGAAGATCGAAACGTACCGCAAGCCGAAACTGATCTTTGCGCGCTGGGATGCTGTTCGATCTATTAATCCGGGTTCTTCCGCTCTCGGAATTTATACGCGTTCGCGAATTCAGACAAGTTGCTATCGTGGTTTCGGAGCTCAGAGATCGAGTCGAATTGTGTTCTTTGTTTAAAAAAACGTAGATACGTCGAACTTAAATCATTCGATGGACGCTGAATTAAAAACGCGAGAAGATACGTAACAAGAATTATAAAGATATGAAGAAAGAAAAACTTACACAAAGGCGATTACGATCAGAGTCGATGGTCGATTGTCGCTCCTCGAAACGATGCTCCTCGGGTCCCCCGTCGACGATCAAGATTCGTTGATTGAATTCGGGGAGATAACTTGTCCCGGTCCGGTCCGTGCCGACGGATGTATTTTCATTTTCGATTTCTGCTTTGAAACAACCGGTGAGGTGATCGACCAATTTCTCGATCCATTTATCCGGCTCTGCGCAAGCTCGATCTTCATCGAACGGAAGCTTCACGCATCGTATATAGTTTCGCGGTTCGATTCGATCTTCCTGGTGCCAGACGTTCCTCTTTCGATCTTCCTTTTACGAGAACAATTTGTTACTCTCCTCTACGCGAGTGTGATTACGATTCCTTTTTTCCTACAAGATAAAGCGGGAATCATCGCGTTCGCGCCATGATCTTGCCTTGTTCGCCCGTCGATCTGCTCCGTCGAAACGATCCAGGTTAGTCCCACTAGTCCGAGCACGCTCTCTCGCCGAGTCTCGTTCAATCGGTGGTGGATTTTATACGATCCCGTAATAAGCTCCTCTGGCACCAGGTCGATTGTAAGATCTTTGCAGCTGCCACCGAGCCAGGCTCGTTCTCGTCCTCCTTTAAGTTGCGAAACCACACGTGGAGCGAACGTGGATACTATATGCGTGAGTGGTAGCGTACTACTGAGTTTCACGTTCGCGAAAATCCTATCCCCACTCGTGCAGCTTCCTCTGCTCCGAGCTCGCCCTCTCTTCGAAACGAGTTTGCGCCCCTGCCAACCTCACCCTTTTCCTCTCTCTCATCGTTCTCCTCACCCTTTCCATCTCTCTATCCTCTCCCTCGGTTCGTTCCCTTTATTCCTACTTATTTTTTCTCTATCTTTTTTCTTCGACCGAATCTTACCGCGCTAACAACGATTTAACGAAGAACGACTCGAGGCTGGTGTTGCCACGGAGCTGTTGCTTCCGATGCTGCTCGTCCGTTTTGGTTTTGCTGGTACAGAGTAAGAGTACAAGTATAGACCGAGCCGACCGTCCGTTAGCTTTTCCGAGGACGCGACGACGTGGACGGATCACGATCGTTTCTAACCGAGTCTCTCGACGAAGATTAAATCGATCACGCTATCGTTACGAGCACTTGTCGCGACACGCGGGAAGATGCGATTTTTATCGCGAATCAAATTGCACTCCCTCTTCATCTGTTTTTTCCTATTCTCTTTCGATTCCTTTCACACATCAACGCATCGATGATCGTTTACGATTCGTCCGATCGTGTATCATTGGACCGCGCGCGTTACCCAAAAACGAAGCAGCGATTAGAAATATTTCGGAATTCGAAGAAAGGAGAGGAAGGTACGACGATGATACCAAGACGACGAAAGATGGAGCGTTCGAAGTTAATCCGCGTGTCGAAAGCGGAGACACGAACGGGGCACGACGTTCCCGCTCGCGAAGCGAATACCGAGTGCCGTTTCTTATTCCCTGATCCGACGACGAGCTGAACCGAGCAGAGGGCACGGGATGCTGAAATCGATCTAGCAGATTCTAGACCAGACGACGACGCTAAATTTTTATTTGGCTAGACCGGATGGCGCCGGGCCGTGGCGCCGAGTGTTCTGCTCGTTACTCCGAAAGACAGCAGCCGTTGCCGCCGCTGTAGCCAGCGAACCGCGAGTAGTAGCGGTCGTTCCGTCGGTGGCTGGTAGCCACTGGGCAGTAGTGGCCGCAACCAACCGTCGGGGGCAGAATTATCGCGGCGGGCGGGGACGGAAGAGACACGATGAGAGCGTGGTGACGCGATGGGACGGAAGCTGTCGGGGGATCAAAATCGGAACGGGTAAAACGTTCATCGCGCGAGGGGTAAACGATCGAAGAGGATGCGTCGACGGGCGACACGCGACGGGTGCGAAGCCGTGATCCATGAACCGTGTACGCGGTTAATTGTCAACTTTTACGCGTTCTTCCTCGGATCTTCCACTTACTTGGGTCGGTGTAAATCCCACGATATTAATTGCGCGTTATAGGAATCGTTCATCAACCGAAATAGTGGTGGCAAAGTAACGAAAGTATTTGTAAAAGCACCGTTGCGACGTAATACGAGACGAACGGAGCGGCGCGGCGCGGTGCGGGTTCGGGTTTGGATGTTCGACTGAGCAGAGATAAAAGGAGAAAATTAAGGGGATTATCGGAGGATAGGAAGGAAACGAAACGGGAGAAGGCGTGGAGCGCGGAGAAAAATGGACTGCGGCAACTAGGAGATATCTAGGTATCGATCCATCGCGAAACGGCTTTCCGCTCGTCCAGTAGCAGCTACTGAGATAGATACGCGTACGTACATATAGGTTACCTACATAGATTATGTTACCTTAGGCAACCCTTGCGCGTCGGTTTGGTGTAGGTAGCAGCTATATCTCGTTTATAACGCGTAATTGGAAATTTACGACGAGGTGGATTTCAAATTTCGTCTCGCTCCGACGTGGAATTTGAATAATACGGGAGCTGTGATAATGCCCGCGGTTGCTCCGGGTCGATCTCCATCGATCCTTAATTCGGTCGGTCGATACAATTTGCTTCCAGGTTGACGCACGACGTTTAATATAGTAGATCGCGTCCCACTCGGTATGCGGACGGAAGCAAATTATGCTGGGGCTGGAGCCAGAGATTGAGGGTGGGAACTAATAGGGAGGACGGGGAGAACTCATTGAATTTTGGTGCCCTCGAAGACGACGAGCCAAAGATCGGCACGCGAGCAATTAGACGGACGATCGCCGCTGATCGTATCGATAGCGAACCGTGATTCGCACTCTCTTTATACGAAAAGTCTACCCGTCGGGTGTAGCATCTTGTCGCTCGATAACTTAATTCGCGCAAAAGCGGCGAAGCGGGATAAAAGATGTCGAGACGGGAGAAAAATGGGACGAAATTATGATCGGATTTGCGGGGAGGTACAAAGTCAGCGGTATGCCCGTGATCGATAAACAGGGGCTAGGAACATCGTTGCCAGGAGGAGAAGCTTCTCGTGCATGTTTGCGATTGAACGGGCGTGATAATTTTCCGTCGATCCATTAAGTAAGTTAATTAAACACAGGCGTTTCGTTACAGTGATTCCAGCTTAACGAGCTTGCCGATTCGTCGATCGGTTCGATCGGATAACGAAGGTTGAACCATCGCTAGAGAGCTACGGTGGCGTTACAATTTTCCCTCGTGTCCGACCGATTCTGTATATTTCGTAGTTGCGGGAAATCGATTGGAGCCTCGGATAATTATAAACCACGGTTACGCGTATCGCGCTGAACGAAAAAGTTCGCGTAGACAGAATTCGTTGTCATTGAAGTTCCAGCGTCTCGTTTCAAAGATTGCGATTGAAACTGAAAGGGCGATCCCGTTATCTCGTAGCTCGTTTACCAGGCGTCGAAAGAATTCTCGTCGATGCTTATCCTCGTCGTTGACGCATTAAATAATATCCGGTGGAATATCGTCACGATCCGCGAATAACTCTCTCGATAAAGGATTTAATAAACGTCAGGGAAACTCGGATACATGGCATCCCTATGGAATTATAAATTTCCGGACTCTCTCGCACGGAATTGGTTACGTACCCTCGGATCGAGTTCGAACGCCGCCGCACGATACATATAACGTACTATCTACGTCTACGTACGCTTAGTATCCGGTTGTACGTACTACAATCGTATCGCGTTTGTATCGGTATACAGTTTGAGATCTCGTATCTAGTTTCTACCAATACTGGCAGCGAGCAACTATCGGATAAAAAAGCGGGGATAGAGGACGGGTGGAACGATCCGCAATATTTGTCTTCTATCCCTTCGCAACTACCCACCGAGAAAAATAACGGTGGATCTCTGGAAGAAGGGACCCGACGAACAAAGGAACCCACGACCTTTATGGCGAATCAATTTTCGATTCTCCGACTCTCTCTCTAAATTGGACGCATAAATTTCTTTAAGGGTGCTCCTATAAGTTCTTAACTTCGGGAAACATCGGCTAGTCGTTTTCTTCGTCGTTTATCCATTGTGGGTCGGTCGAGACGAAAACAAGAAATATGCACTGCTAGATATATGAAGCATGGCTGAGATAAGAGAACTGGCAACGAGACAAGGAAGTAGGACGGTAATGCAAATCCGCGACACACGCACATTTTGCGCAACAGGTGGCCATCGGTTGCGAGGAGCGATTCAGTTAGAGTTGGAAGATATCCGTTTCGACAGCCGTTCCCTGCTCTTAATGATTTCGCGTAATCGATACTGGTAACTTGGTTAAGCTCGCTAGTGTTAAGGTTGAATGTAGACGACAAAACGCGACGCGCATACCGTTCATGCGTGTTAACGATCGCAAATTGAACCGCGTTACAACCACTATCGTTCGTTCCACGTTTCAATTTCGCCTTCGAAGAATTTCTTTCTCTGCATTTTAGATTTTAACGATAATTATTGTCAAGAAAAGAGGGGAGAAACGAGCGGGAGGGAAAACCGAGAAATCTGGCTGATCGCTATTGAAGTCAAAGAGGCCAAACGGTTGGTAGACCATCGTACCATGAAAAGGGTATCGTGATAAAGTTGCGGCCAAAAACGTTTGGATGGTTGGGAAGTGGTCGTGTTATTACAGGACGGAATCCTCTCTGAGCCCCGGAAATTACGACATCTACACACCCGCGCGCGAGGGTTCCTCGTATACATTCGCGTACATGCATCATTTCGGTCCCATAGGAAAGTTAACCGAAAAATGTATACGCGGAAACCAGGTCGAGCGATCGCGTATCCCGTGCAACGCTATGTGTTCTGGGATTTTATATCGTCCGCAGGAATAAATGAATAAATAGAAATATGAAATTAATATGGACATTACGTGAACGTGAAAATGGAACAACGCCGATTTTTACATAACAGAAGTTTAAATATTGATAGGGTGAAATCACGCTTTCGAACGACGAGAAGAATGTTCGTTTATTCTCCGTGTCCCCTCGCGTTCGGTCTCCGTGGGCGTGGAGAATCTTCGATTATTGTTCCGTGGGGATGTTTACCAGCCCGTGATCGTGGACGGGAGTCTAGGAGCGGAACGATTTCCAAAGAGTGATAGAGCGTTGATTGCGAATGTGAGGAGAAGCGAGACCAAAGGCTTTTCTCGCGAAGCTCTCGATCTCGTCGATGCCAACCAGTGTCCTCGATTCGAACAAGCCTCTTTTCCCCTCGCGTTAAGATGACAACGTTAAGATGCTTGCTCGCGTAAAAGGTTGCCAGGATGACGGATGAAAGGTGCGCCTCTTTGATACGTATTCATTTTTATCAGTAGTCCTCGTGTACTTTTTCAAGTACCGAAACGTTTTGTCGCTACCCTAACTCAAAGTGATAATAAACATCTATACTTTCGATTGCGAACCGGGAAAATCGCGTTATAAACGGTGATGATAGCTCGTCGATGGAGAAGCGTTTCGATCGATCCTTTCTCTCGTTGGATTGCCCGCGCGCCTCTACGGCACGGAGTACGGAGTGAATTCCAAGGACTCGGAAGGGTCGCACGTGTCATGGATTTTAAATCGGTCCGTTCGCGAAGACCCTCCTTCTTACTCTCTCTTTCTCTCTCTTCCCATTTCCATTTCTCGCGTCCTTTATATATACCATTCCGATTCGAAGTTTCTTCTTTCCGCCGTAGCTACGCGTCCGCAAACTAGATCTCGTCGTTTCTTCATGTTCTAAAATTCAACAAAGACGATATGTTGAAAACAAGGCTGCGATCGATCGAACGACGTCGGTCGAACTGAGACAGCAATTCTGAGAAAAAATATGCGGATCCCGTTGGTCTCTATGATATCCATAATCAGCTTAGAGTTTAGAGGAACGGCGGCGCAGCGTAGCGCTGGGCTGTGGCGATATCGACGTTTAACGGGGTCTGTGTACTGTGTAGTACTCGCGTTACGATTCGTTATGTTAAATAAGCCTCGAGCCGCGCCGATTTATTAACCGGGATAACGGGACGAAAATCGATTTCAAACAATTCCATTGCTCGCTTTAGGCGTTTATTCGACATCCGATTAGGTTCGGGTCTAAGTCGATCGAGTTTTGATGGCTGATTTCTTCTTTTGAACGACACCGATAACAGTGCGTACAAATAGGATTACCATACCCGTACACGGTTAACGAGATCATATATGCCCGAGCTAGCAGATAGAACATGGATGGATGCATTGCCTATTACAGCTTGTCATTCTGTTACTAGCAAGCCAGGCTTGCCGACTCGCTGTACCATTCCAGAATGTATCGTACCGTACAATCCCGGGCTTCGTCGAGACCTCCGAATGCGAGGGATATCGCTTAACGCGAGAAGTTCGAGGAATCCGTGGAAATTCTGACCGCTCACGAAGTTAGTTTCCCTGTGCCTCGCAAATGATCTGGCGTCTGTAATAATTCACGGATCCGTTCAGTCTTCTCTCTCTCTCGGTCCACCCTCGTATTTCGAGTTACGTAACCATCGTCGTAATTTACTCGACTGTGTGCCACGTTTAGTCGACGCGCCTAGCATACTTACTTCTTTTTTCTTAATTTTATCGCGAGTTTCACGGTGCACGCGTACGAGATGCTTCAGCTTAGCGAGAAATTATATTCAAGCGATACCCTAGCCTGGCCACTATGTATATTTCGCTGGAGAGGCGCAGCACGTTTCTTTCCGTAATAAAAGTCTGAAAAATATCGTGAAATTTATTTTAGCAGGGAATTAAGTCGGAACGATATAGAAGCTGATTCATCTAGATCCGGGATTCTCGTTTAATCCCCGTCCTCGCGATAATTTAATATTCTCTCTCGTTCCGCGTGGAGCGTGTTCGCGCGCGTGTCTACCACATTGAACCGTGTCCGAAATTAACTTTTCGTTCGCGGTGCCTCGCGATTTCCTCGATCGATATCCCCGGGTAACTATTCAAACACACGCGAGGAATAAAATCTCTCGTATTTTCTCTCCGAAATATGCTTCGCGCCTCTGCATCACCGCTGAAACTTCGTTAATTATATGAACCGTTTATTTTGAAAGTGGTGTATCACGTAATTCATGCTTAATTTAGCATGAATTACGTGATATCTCATTTTTCTCAAAAATGGACTTACACCACTTTCAAAATAAACGGTCCATATAAACGTGTCCGAATCGACGAGAAAGGTAAACGAAGATAGCAGGTCCTTCTGAGGTTCGTTTATTTTGTTAAAAATATCACTGACATTATCGATTGACAACGAAATAACAATTAATTGGAAAATTTCCGAGGGTGTCGTCTTGAACTTCACGAAAAACCGTTCTTTCGCCTTGAAGTATAGGGCACGTACTACGTAGTACGTGACTACGTATACATACGTGTTTCTTCACGTTCACCTCTGTGTGTGTGTATGTGTGTGTGTGTATGTGTGTGTGTGTATGTGTGTGTGTGTATGTGTGTGTGTGTATGTGTGTGTGTGTATGTGTGTGTGTGTATGTGTGTGTGTGTATGTGTGTGTGTGTATGTGTGTGTGTGTATGTGTGTGTGTGTATGTGTGTGTGTGTGTGTATGTATAACGTAAACGTGCAAGGTGGCAACGTTTGAGCGTATGTGTAACCGTGTACGCGCATCGTGAAAGGTAGCTGCGATTGAAATGCGACGAGATCATTTAATCACTTTATTGTCACACGCCATATCTGGCATCGAGTATATCTTTTATCAGATATATTTTACTGGATACAATCGCTAACGCTTTTTATATTAATCGTTCCGCGTAGATTTCGCCATACACTACTCCTCGAATCGAATCGAATCGTAACGGTTGTCGCACTTCGAACTTTTTTCGCTTTCTCAAAAAACCACTGGTAGGTATATTAGATATACAGAATTGCGGTTGAAAAGCGGTAAATCGCAACGGGAATTTGTATTGATCTTAAACACCTTCCTCCTCGTTCCGAAGACAAAAAAAGGATCGTCGGAGAAGCAGTACTCGGCCGAATTCTAATTTCTTCCTACGCGGAAGACACATCTCCTACGTCGAGCTGATCGACGTCGCAATTCTCTTTTAATTATTTTCATCTATTCGCGTATTCTCTCGTTTTCTTTCTTTCTTTTTCCACGCCCATTACTATTCCACACTCTCTCCCTTTCTCTCGTGTTCGCACTCGTTCTCTCTCGCGCGCGCGTTCTTTTACCAAATAAATTTTACGTACAGATAAATCATAATCAGCAGCGCGTGCTCTTCGGATGAAACTCGGTGTTCGCGAGTTGGAATCCAGCCGTTATTTTACGTCGCGGTACGCGCGAAGCGCGCTAACGCTTCCGGTTCACGGTCATAGGTCGTAAACGTCGACGAATCGAGTCCGAAAGAAAAGTTCGAAAAATATTATCCTTGTTTTCCGCGATTCGCCGATGTAAAACGCGACGCGTGTTCGAGATTGTCGCGCTTTACGCGATACCACGAGAACGCCTAGGACCGCGCAAGTCACGCTGGATCGTTCCTACTTTCTACCAAACTCCCGCGACAGCAGACGATCGCTTTTTTCTCATTCTCTTTTCCTACTACATGGTACATCACTCTCCTTTTCCTCGCACCCTGTATCGTCATCGTAAACGTAAACCGGCCTCTTCCAGTTTAACAAAAATGGTGGTACTCGTTGACTTCCCGTCTGTTTATTCTTCGTTTCGGCTCGATTTCTTCCCACTTCCTTCCGCTGGTTGCCGACCCACCGATTAACCCCCACCCGTCATACCGATCCCTCCGCCACGTTACCAAAGCCACCGATTTAAACGTGTCTCCTTTAGACTTACTTCGCCGTTTCGTCTTCGTTTAAGTTAATCACAAGTATATAGGTACAAAGTCAGTTATTAATTTGTTCTCCTCCGTAATTAATAATATTTGTATGTATGTATACGTGTATATATAATTTATATATGTATATGATTCACGATGCGGGTTCGATCCTAAGACTGAGCATGCCTATGTACAAATGGGCATGTTGAGAATGTACAAATTAATAAGTTTCCTCCTCCCGACTCTCTTCGTACGCTCCTTAATTCGAGTTCATTAAGTTGCTTACACCTCTTCGCGCAGTATCTAAATCAATATGTAGGTATGTACTAATATTATATATGTACAATACGTGTGTATTAATCGAGGATTCTTCGAGAGTAAGCTTCCCGACGAGCTATCGCTGTAATAGAGCAAAGGTCCGCTTGGTTCGCGAGTCTGCAATAGAATTTCGACGAAGAAAATATTTGAAAATATGCTAATAAGAGTAGGTATTACAGCTATATACCGAAAGGAGCGGGACGATAAAGTGGAAACGCTGCGAATTGAAAATGTCGAACGAAGAAAGTCGAGTCCTCGTGTCGGATCGATCGCGATAAATGATGCGTGGAAACGCACGACCGTGTACAACGTCGATCTCGTGTGGTTTCGTTTCCGCTCGATTCTAAATCGGTGTTTAAAGCCTAGATTGTAAAAAAAATATTTATCCCAACTTAAGGATAATTCATCGATGTTTCAGTTTTGCCGCGTCCTAGTCATCTCTCGGATGTCAACGGTCGATGTAAGTGCAAAAGAACAAATCTATTTTCCGGTTCCTCTTTTTTTTTGTACATACCGTATACTTATCTCGTTTAACAAAGAAGAAAAATGCGTATTAATCGTGAAAGTCCTACGTTTGTATAGCATGGACTACGCAGCGTGTTACATACATACCTACATATGTATGTAAAGATCCGCAAACTCTAACGTCATCGTACGTAAAATAGTTAAGAGGACTGATAAACGACACGCTCCTTTCCCTCGTTTCATCGATTCAGACTCACATTTCTTCACCGTGCTCTTCTTTTCGCGTATGTACTAATCCCTGCAGTGTCTCGTCGCAAAACAATTAAAACGTAGAAGAGATAAGCGCGGGAAATAAAGTCAGGTTCGTAAATCGGACGTTAAACGCTAGATAAGTGTAACTAGATTTACAGACTTTTAGATGTTTCTCCAACGATAAGTACACGTGCATGCTCATCGAATCGCGTTTAGAGGTGAGACGGGCAAATGCATAGACGTAGATCGAACACATAGCACGATAATTAAGAGGTACAAAATCGGTCGTGAGACGCGCGAGGAGGTCCCCTCACCCGAAAGGCGAGGGGACGAGAACCGACCTGATGCGAGTCGCACCGTTGCCTCTTCTTACTTTACTCCCGTTACCGAAAGATTCGTCGTTCGCGTACGTACGCATATTACGTATACACGTGTATTTAGCCGGGGAGCGCAGGATCTTGGCGCCTCGCGAATAAATGTAAAACGCGAATCCCTTTGACACGCATGTAGAACGCATACGCATAGTAGGTAGACGTGTACGCGATGCAAAAATTACGCGAGCGGTTCGTTGAAAAAATACGTGTTCCCAGATAAAAAGGAAAGAAGATGAGGAGCGCTCCTTGAGAAAGCCGAGTGCGATTCGATAAAGAGTTGTAATAAAAACATGGTAGATAGGGGATGAGTCCCCTTACGCTTCACACGGTGCGTCGTTCGGTTTGTTTCGCGGGAACGGACCTGGAGACTTAAATAAGTAAGTAACGGAATCACACGTTCGTAGTTGGTGACTGTCGATTTATACATAGTCTCAGCGTTTCACTTTTGTCTCGTCACACGCGCATGCACTCACGCGCGATCGATTCGCTGCCGCCGATCGATTATGTTCCCCGTTCCCGTTCGCCCCGCGATTCGCGATAATCGGTAAAAATTCTTATTGATGCTCGGGTCGTCCGCGCGGAGAACGGGACGATGAAAACGCGATCGGCCGCGCTCGAGGCAATCAAACATCCGCTCGCTTACGCGTCGTTGAATCCGCGTATATTCGGAGCTACGGTCGGAACGACACCAAGTACCGTGGATGTCTAATTTCGGTTGAGTCGGTGTCACTCCGACTTTAGCCTGATACCTGTACGTACATATGCATGTATGTATGCGCGTGTGTAGCGTTAAGCGTATACATACGCGCGCGCGTCTGTGTGTCTGTGTGTGTGTGTGTCTGTGTGTACGTATGTGTGTATGTAGGTATATCAATTAATTATAATAGTACGTGTATCATTGCGTGATATTTACAATAGATAGTATATGTTCCGATAATGATATTTGTTGGCGAAAAGTTTTGACAACGAGTTCCTTGTTCTCTGTCCTGTGCTTTGGTTTTTGTTCATTTAGTTTTCGTTTAGTGCGTTGTCTTTCTCATTTTGAAAAATCATCGCTCTATCCCTATAGAATCTAGCGTCAGTACTCGGAGCGTCCTATATATATATATATATATGTATATATATATATGTATATATATGTATACGATTATATGTACAAATTTAAGTCTCGTAAACGTTATTTAAAATTTCGTAAATTGTTCGTTAAATGTAAATAATTCACCGATGATAGTTCACCACAGTATTTCCGGTGACCGTTCGTGACTATTCCCACTCGTCGAACTTTACCGTTTCACCGAGATTCTTCTCGGTCGTTCTCGCCTGTCCCTCGACGGTCGAACGACGAATCGTCACCGTCCAGCAGCGGCCGCGCCGTCGTCGCTAAGCTCTTTCGTCGTCCTGCGGTATACCGCGATACCGTAGTGCGTTGACGTTCACCTGGTCCTGGTATCTCAAGTACCTCTGTGCCGTTTTCACTAGAATGAAATAGAAACGGAAGACGCGAATCAATCGATCGTTCGCCACTCACCTCCGTGCATATCGTAACCACGGATAGGTATCTTAGGTGGAAAGGTGTAGGTATACGTACATAGCAGGTGGGTATGTACAATAAAAGGAACAACGAGTAGTGAACGAATGGGGAGGGTAATTCAGGTACACTGTACACGTTTGAAATATGCTTAATTCGGACAGGGTCGGATTTCGTATTCGTGTCGGCAGCCGTCAGTATTTTTACGTACGCCTATAAATGTCTGAGAACGTCGATAACACCGGGGATAAGTTGAACAGAGAACTTCGAATGCGGCCGTCTTACCTTGATTCCATTTTATAAATAGGGCGCGTTACGTTCGTTAAAAATTCAAAGCGTTACGTATGGAGACGGAGGAGATCGAGATCATTCAAAGAGGTTGCGCAAGGGTGCGATGCTGTGCAGGCTGACATATAAATAGTAGCGGAATAAATTTTATCGATCAGATTTTTAAAAAATTCAACAAGAACGTTGGTACTAGCAGAGGCAGTCAAAATATCTACTGGACACGAAATTACTTGAATGTACATAAACAACTATAATGTAGGTACGTAAGTACCTGGATACATACGACGTGTAAGAGAAAAACATATAATGGAAACGAAAGAGCGATTCTGTAGCGATGAAAAAGATAAAGAAGCTCAAGTAGTGCGACACGATGATATAAAGATAAAAGGTCGATACGTATCAGGGATAGGGGCGCCAACGAAAGAAGAGACACTGTTAACAAGACGCGTCGATGGACTTCACGTGGATACCTAGAAACCCGTTCTGTCCCGTTATCAACGTGGCCGACCGATCGATCGATCGGCGAACGGCCAGACAGATGATAGGTCGCGTATCCTCGTGAAATCGACGATAAATCGATATAATGGAAAAATTTCAAACGTTCCGTTGATCTGAGAATGAGTGCGTACCTAAAACTATCCGATGATCCGGAGCTTGGCTACTATCTTTACGCGTAGTCTACGTGAAGACTAGCGGTGGTTCGTCGGATAGCGTGCCGTACACGGCGCGAACGTACTCGATACGTAAGTTGTACATAGGTAGTATATACCTAGGCGATGCGTTGCGATGCGCTAGCGATGCTTCTAGAAGCACACGTCTCCTCGTACGCGACTTTTCACAACCTTCACTATTTCCATTCACCACGCGAATTTCGTCCCGTTTCATTTTAATCTCATCGTCACCTCTTCCGGCTCGGTGACCGTCACGTTTACCGCGTTCAGAGCTGATTCGGAACCGATTCAGTGCCAGCGACGGTCGTCGTTCATCAAGACTCTGACGACTTTTATGGAGAACGCATCTTTGATCAAGGACATCTTCGATTAATTGTAAGATTACAGTCCGCGTACGGTCTTACTTCTTTTAACGATATCTGAATAGTTGCAAACACATTTACGTAGGTACGCGTCGTATACGTCTAAAATACAGATTATAGAGCATAGTACGATGGAGATGTTCTTCGAAGACGACACAGAAACGCGATTAAGGGTACATTCCGTTTTTTTTTTTTTTTTTTTCTTTTTTCTTTTTTTTCTTCGGATATTTAATACGCGAAAGAAGCTCCGTAGCTATTGTCGTATTACGCGTAAAAGGAATATCCTGTAGATGGACCAGAGTTACTTAATTTTTAAAGGACTCTAGGGACGTAGCCGAGGATCGACGGGACAAAGCTAAGGATGAAGGCCCACTGACCAGGGGCATGTTGCCGAATAGCTTATACCACCCGAATACGATCCCGTTGAGGTTCAGTTCGTCCAACACGATGTGCGCGATGCCCATGAATACTTTTTTCCCCTCCAATCGGCCGTAATCACCCCACACTGCAACCTGGGATCATGAAAACAGACAAACAGATATAGTTGACGCAGTCACATCTCGTCTGAAGTACGAAGCATCCTCTCAACCTTCGGAATTTAAGTTTTGTTAAAAACTCTAAGTGCGTACATAAAAATAGGAAAATCTACGCCGTAGAATAGCGTGTACGACGTACCTGCAGTATACAACCTCGGTAATCTTCTCTGAATGCCAGCGATTGCTGATAAAACGGATCCAACGTTTTCCTAGCTGTCACCGTCTTCATCTTCGCGATACACTTCTTACCGTTCACCAAATAGACTTTCACGTAGGAAGCTGTAACCATCGCGAAAAGATCGTAATTAGAATTACTCTTTGCTCGTTTAAGAACAGTAAGGAATTCGTCGAAGGGAAGGGGAGGGATGAGGAGGTCGCGGGTGAATGTTTAGAGGATTGATAATCATAATGTCGGAAAATAACGAACCTGGAATCGCTTTACTGCCCTGTTTCGGCTGAAGGTCTTTGGCACGTATCACCTCGACTTCGAGATAGCGATTCTTCTGAGTGAACGAGAGTTGAATTTCGCCTAGGCAGCGAGCGCCAAGGGCCTGCCTTCCGACAACTTGTCCGGGTCCGAGATCTTCGATGAAGTCTCTCAACTGGCCGGTTTCTCCTGTCATTCGTAGACTGGGAGACCAACTGCAGTTCCCAAAATAAAATGTTAGTCGTGGATGCGAATCGCGTTCGATGCGTGGTCGAGGGTATGGGAACGGGTATAAATGATTCGAAAGAGGATAAACGGAAGCGAACGTAAAGTTTCCGAGGAACCTTGACTCGTACATCGTGTCTATCGCAATCGTATATCATCGTCGATTCGTTATTTTGATTGAACGTAATTCTTCATCGATTCGACTACCGTTGAAAATCGTTAAAAACGTAAAAAGGTGTAGGATCTCAATCGAATCGAAATCGCAGGAGCGAGGGACAATTCTCGCAAGCCTTCGACGTGAAAGTGCGGAAAGAGACTTCGTTCGATTTTAGATAAGAAGAACCACCCACGCTGCGAGCTGCGAGTGTAGTGTCGGTGTACCGGCGAACGAATTGTTATAACACGCGTACACCGTGATACACAGCCGCGGACGCACGGACACACGCACGCACGCACGCAGACGTAGCCTACACGCATACCATTGCAATCGTGTACGAAGAAAATCGTAAAGTTAAAAAACGCAACGGGTTGTCGGTGCATGCAAATCATTCTATGAGCGAGCATCGTACCAGTTACCAGATACATGTGTATTTATAGTCTATAGTAGCCTATATCGTCTATCGGTATCATCCAACAATATTCAGTTTATTCTTTAACGTGGCTCGTCCCCATTGCAAGCGTCTTCTTTGCTATCTTTCTCTACATCTTTCCATTTTTCTCGTAATTGTATTCTGATTATTGTTGAATCGACTATCAACTAATCGACGTAAAACGTACTAACGTCTATTCATGCTCAATTCGTACTTTGAGTAACGTCAAAAATATTTTTCTTAACTTACATTCTGAGCCCTCTTCGCGCGTGCCGTCTCATCGTCTACGTCTATAAAGTCTGTCCTTAATTGTTCTCGTTAATAATTAATACGATACGAAGATGCGAAGCGAACGCTTCTTCGAACGTCTTCGAAACGCGTGTTCCATCGCATTTTTCGTTCGACATCATCCTGCTAACTCCTTTTAACACGTAGACACGGATAAACGCTTACTTACAGTTAGCGAGAACGACTATGCGTGTTTAATCTGGATGCCTTCCGTTACCATCGAAGGCAAGTCTAAAGAGGCGACCCTAGCGAGGCCCTGAAAATTCTGATCTGGGATAGAACAACGAAGAGATCGATATGTAATAATTCGACGACACTGTACAGCTCGAACAGATATGCTTATATCAATCGCATTATGTACAATTGGTGCTGAGTTCTCCACGTAGCACGCGATAAGCGCGATCACAGCCGTGATCGCGAGGCGACGCGAGATCGATCAGGGATGAAGATCGGAGTTGCGGGTTGTGCGGTGAGGATAAGGAAAATGATTACTGATAATGGAATCACACGCATGTACATAAGCACAGTAGTCTTATATGTATATTACCATATATTTCTCCGGATATATGGCGGTTTACGTTTACCCATGCTCTGCGCTCGATCGAGCGAAAATCAACCTCTTATCCACCATACGACCATTTCCGATCGGTGGCCATATATCCGGAGACTACTGTACATAGATACGAGATAAGTAAAAAGATAAGTACGTAATTCGCGTAGAGTAGTGCTCCGAAGATCGTTTGGTCAGCCAAGCAACAAGCCAAGACGAAGATCACACTGACAAAAATGATAACGGTGTCGAGGAAATCGTGAACACGACGGTACGTTGCTGTATCGAGGAAAAACGAACGTAAGAGAAGTAACTAAAATCGCAGAACGACAGAGGCGAATAGGTAGGCGCGAAACACTTACACATGTACTTATACGTAACGATATGCGATGTGCGAGGAATTTGGTTCGAAATTTCTTCGATATCCTCGGCTTTCACTGAATATTGTACATAAATCGATGCTCAGGAAGGGATGAATTAAAAGAATCACGCTATTTTACAAAAAGGATGTAACAACGTCAGCATAAATACGGGGGGAGGGGGGACGGTTTGTGTGTGATGAAATCATAAATAAAATGAAACGAAGTGAACATAGATGCCGGGCATACGTGTCAGCCTGATCGCACATACATCGGAAGACGGAACGTTAGCGATTCTCCCGTGCGCGAGTGAAGGATAACAAGAGTGTCCAGGGTGGCTGCGAAGTAGAAACGAAAAGGCACAGTCGGAGAGAAGAGAGAAAACAGAATCGTTAACAGGGTTAATACGATATCTGATCCTACGAAACCATACATCTTTCTTCTTTTCGACACGTTCGTCTGGAGTAATCCTGCTGGAAAGATAGGAGACGATTCTCGAAGATAGACAGAATTGTGGAACGATAGAGATAGACGGGGGGAGTGAGAGAGAGAGAGAGAGAGAGAGAAGAAGACAGAGCAGATAGAGAGAAAGAGAGAGAGAGAGAGAGAGAGAGAGTACGTTTAGCATAGAATACGTTAGGAAAAAAGTTAAGAGAGACAGCAAGGAGTCTCGCAGTTCCGGTTGCAGAATTGATCGGTGGAGGAGGCCACTACTTACGAGCTTCCTTCGGAACTCGAGATAGAGTTGAGACTTCCGGCTGTGTCACTGGCCACCGATCCCGTCTGTTTTCCCGATTCAAAGCGTTGGTAGGGTACGATCTCCTCGGAACGCTGTATACTGCTCGGTGTGCTGTTGCGTTTCCGACTCGATAAACCGGCGATACCGCTTCCGACGCAAATCCCACCGCACTCTGCGTTGGAAACCAAACAAGAAACAACCGCTAAAGCTGTGTGTAATTTTTCGTTCGTTTTTCTTTACGTATGTCCGTCGCACCGTGCTCTGCCTCGTTGTAGCCCTTCTCTCTCTCTCTTTCTCTCTCCCTCTCTCTCTTTCTTTCTCTCTTTCTCTCTCTCTCTCACTCACTCGTCAAAAGTTCCTTGCAGGTGAATCGCCGAATCTGAATCGTGTCTTTCTCTTTCGACGTTTATCTCTCTCCCTCGGCCCTCTCTCCATCACGCACGCGTACGCACACACTCGTCTTCGCGTTTGCCACATTTTCGCTTCCCTTTCATTCCAATTTTTCCTCGTGATGAAATGAAAGGAACGTTAGAAAAGGGTTGCGTCGCGTACATTCGAAGCTGCTCGCGAGTAGTCCAGACTGGGAACGACTGGACGAACGGTGGACTGATCGATGATCTCGTGAGCATCGGGTGGCAAAGATCGCGCATACACGGGAGAAAGTCACGCGCTTTGGATCGGTCGATCGTAACGTAACTAGCCGAAACAGCTGAACGACGAGGAAAGGCTCGAAATCGATTGGTACAGTCGATTGGTCGAGGGTAACAGGAATATCGGACAATCGTTCCGAAACAATTCGTGGAAGCCTGGAAGAAAGAATGCGATAGAACAGAGAGAGAGCGCAGTGGTTAGCGGTTAGAGTAACGATAACAGGTAACGAAAGTTCGACCGCCTCTCGAAGAGATTCCCAACTTCGTTCCTAACCCTGTCTGTCGTATCTGCAATCAGAAGCGTGGAAAAGAGGAGGAAAAAGAAAACGTCGAAAGCTAAACATTAAACGATGTGCCTTGAATAAATCGTCGAGTCTGCTGCGACTTTGCCATTTAAAAACTCGCTGCTTATTGCAGCGCGTATACGTAACGGTACACGCGTGCAAGATGCACGGTTTCTCATCGGTGACGAATAACGCGATGGATTTTCGTTTCGAGAAACGAGAAGGCAAAAGCATCGAAAAAGAAAAGAAGCTGCGATACTTGGAGCGATTCGAGCAGTGGCTTCTAAACAGTGACTTGTAGAAAAGTACATAAATGGCAACGAGTTTCCGGTGATCAACTTGAATACCTACCGTTTGCCGAGTCTCTCGATCGTTTCTCGAGTCGACCACCGTATCGTGGCAGGATCGATACCGCGGCATCGCATCGGTTCGGTTTAAGTACCGACGCGACGACATCGTCCAAGTGCGAACCTACGCATCGTGACGTGACTACACTCACGAGAATGGGACAACGAATCTTAAGATCGTCGGTCCGCAATGATGTTCCGCGGTTTCCGCTTCCTCCTGCGGCGCATCTCGGGAAACTCGTGCAAACGTTCGCTCTAATGTATACTATTCGTAAAAGTTGCGCATCGCTACTAGAAAACAGTCTCTACGATCTATCAAGAAATAACTCGATAATCGTTCAGCGACTCTCCCACAGTTCGTTGAACTCGACGTTGCGTCGCACGCCGTTCCGTTTGCGGCTGGAAGCGGTGTGCGAACGGCGTCATTCGACAGACGGTATAGAGTATAGAGTACAGAAATGACAGAGGGAAGAGAGAAGAGAGTCGAAGAACGTTTCGCGTCATTCCCCGCTCTAAAGCACGACTAATTAGGTATCGTTAAAAATTAGCGTGCTCCACGTGTTAGAGATGGTGGGCATTGTCGGCAAGTCGGCAAATTCTCGTTCGGCTTGCCGCGACTCGTCTCGCAAGTATACGTGTGCGTACTCACATTTCGCCGAAGGCTCTCGAACCGCTGCCTCGTCGTACGAGCATCGAACGTCGTCTCGGGCATCGCTGCGCGTCGTCGTCGACGAATCGTTCGATTCGAAAACGGAAAAACGTCCGGAGATCGGTACGAACGTAACGAACTCGTCGTCGTTTCGGAACGTTCGTGCGAACGGAAACGTACGAAATCCGCGCGGACGACGCCATGTCGATCGCTCCCGCGTTCAAGGTACGACAAAAACCGAAGGAGTTGCAAATCATAAGGGATAAGATAAAGAGGGTGATATATCTTTGAGGATGTGTTCGGACCTGTCCCCGTCGCCGCTACCCTCGCCGTCGCTGCTCGCGGAACTCGGTTGTCGCCCGCTCCTTCCGCTGCTCGTGTCCTCCGGCAAGACCTCCTCGCTTCTATGAACTGTAAACGAGGACTTGCCCTTCTTCCCGAATCCTAGCCGTCGTTTTCGTCCTTCGTCGCCCACGCATGTACCACCAACAGACGCACGTGGTATGTTACGGTTTTTGCGTGACGTGATACATGTAGTATTTTTGTAGTAGTAGTAGTAGTAGTAGTAGTAGTAGTAGTAGTAGTAGTAGTAGTAGTAGTAGTAGTAGTAGTAGTGGTGGTGGTGGTGGTGGTAGTAGTAGCGATAGTAGAAGTTGATAGTGTGTAGTAGTAGAAATGTTTGGTGAACGCACGCATATACGCGGTGCGTATGTAAAGAATTTGTTCAGGTGTAGTTACAGTATCGTATGATATAGTTCAGTATATCGTTTTGCATCGAGCGTTGCGTAACGGTGGAGCGATCGTTCCAGCGATCGATCGAGGTGATCCGCGTCGAGTGTCGTCCCGTGACACGATCGCGCGAGCGACGATATAGCCCGCCACGGTGAGAAATCGTGCAGGTGGTGGGTGCAGATCGATGACACGTGAATGGTCCCCAGCGTCGAAAGAAGGTTGGTCGGTGGAAGTAAAGTGTGAATGTGTTCGTATCGAAGAGAGGCGGATAGAGATGAGGAGGGATGGTGGAGAAAACAAGAATACGATTAGAATGTAAATACTGTCCCGTTTACAGGGAGTTTTTTTTTCTTTCTTTTACGACGCGCTCTCGACGTTTACCGACGCGCGACGCGAGTCTTTGGCGATCGGTCAATTTTCCGATCTTTCGATCTTGCGAGACGAACGAACCGACGCGACGACGCGTTCGGCGAGAGCGCATCGTAAGTCTACTGGCTAGTGGCGCTAAGCTAACTCTATGCTATTACTCGAGGGATCATCTTTACCGTCGACGCGTCAGACGCATCGTCGTGTAAAGAATATGGAATAAGAAACGGAGTACAATAATCTGATACGCGCGCGGGATAGAGAGGATCGATCGAAACCGCCGTAAAAGTAGCAACGTACGCGCGCAACGTTTCGACGCGTGAAATCGAAAGAAATCGATAACAATCGATAACGCGACGATGTGTTACCTGTGGCGGACAGCTGGCTGGTGCTGTTGCTCTTCTTCCCCAGATTCGATTGATACTGGACAGCGCTCCCGCCACCGCTGCTGCTTCCGCTTCCGCTCTTACTCCCGGGCGAGCTCTTGCGAGGTCTCCTCGCGGAGTCCTCGACGTTCAAACCGATCGCCGTGTCGCTCAAGCTACCGTCTGAAAAGATCGCGAATCGCGATACGCGTACAGTACGCAGCGTGACCGCGTACGCGGTAGACAGAGAGAGATAGAGAAGGGTGGCGGGACGAAGAAAGATAATGATACAGATAAAAAGGAACTAACCAACTTTCTCGTCTTGGGGCGCGTCGGTGTTGCTGAGACTCCTGGTGAACTGACCCCGCCGATTGTGGTCGTCGTGCTCGCTATCGGGTGGCTGACTCCTGGAGGTCTTTTCGTAAGAGCTCGACTGACCGGTACTGTACTCGCTGCTTTCGGGCACGGAGGAGGATCGACGATCCCGCGCGCGATCGTCGCGTGGTTCATCGTCGGTTTTTTTCCGGGAACGGCGTCGGTGGGTGGACGACGAGGTCGGGGACGACGGCGTTGTCGTTTCGTCGTCGAGGTTGTCGCGCGGCGACGGTTTCGTGTTTCGTGAGGTATCGTGGTGATCGACGGCCCGTGGGTGGTAGTTTTTAGCAGTGTCGGAGGTAGCGGTTTGGGAATCAAAGAGACTCGAATTAGCGTTACCGGGGTGGGGTGCTCGGTTACGGGGCCTACGCGGATCGCACGGGCCAAATCCGCAGTTCTCGCTGCATTGGCTCTCGCTCTCCATCGAGTACTCGTAGTACTCGAGGGTGTCGCTGATCGCTACGTTCCTCTTACTACCCTGCTGCTGTTGCTGCTGTTGCTGTTGTTGTTCTCGTTCGCGGCCTCGGTCTCCTTGTTGTCGTTCCTCTTGCGAGCGTTGCTGCCGTGATCTCGCGTCGACGCCGGCAGCAGGATGCTGGTGAGCTTCTCGATGCCGTTGCTGCAGCTCGAGATCTCTAGCCTCGGGGCAACTGCTGTTTCGCCTGCGATACCTGTGCCTCGATTCTATCGACGGTCTCCTGTCTTCGCCCGTTCGCGACAACGACCCGGACCTATCTAACTCGCGCATCGCCAACTCCCGACATTCCGGACAACTACTCTTACGTCTACCGCGGTATTGCGCCCGCAACGATCCCGACCTAGCGAACTCGCGATCGCACGGGTAATAATCGCGCGTCCTCGCCGCCTCGCATTCTACGCATCTCGAATCTACGCCCGGGCAAACGTCACGTATCCGTTCCGTTTCGTAATACCTACCGTCCGCTTCCACGTTTCTCCGACGAAAGCAGTCCGCGCACACGACCGTTTCCATCGAACCGAACTCCTCGTCCGACTCCGGAGCGAATCTGCTCCTCCTTTCCTCGTCGACTCTTCTCCTCTGCGACGACGACTCTTCGTCGTATCGTCCAAGATCCCTGGCTTCGGGACAGCTCGCGTTTCTCCTGCGACGATACAGTCGTCGCGCTCTCTCCGCTCTTTCCGATGAACTGAGTTCCTCGTCGGAACGCAGCACCGCTGGCGTCGATTCCGCTCGTTGCAGCCGCATCGTCCGCTTCGCGCGTTCGGACGCGAACGTTGGAACGATCGGATCGATCTGCGAGACGTCTCGATACGGCTGGACGTTCTCGTAAATACCTATACCCGTATCTTTGCTTCTTCTCCTTCGTCTTCTTCGCGGTAACGTGTTCACGTCTCTATACGCGTCGGCGCGAACCCGCTCGGAATCGCTACGCGCCCGATAATCGTATTCGTCCGCTGAACGATAGTCGCGATAACCGTCGCCGTCGAACTCGGTGGTGTCGACGACGTCCACGTACCGCGACGATCTTTTCTTTTCTCTTCTTCCATCGTAATAATTGTCGTCGTCGCCGCCGCCGCCGTCGCCACCGCCGTAGCCGTAGCCGTAACCGTAGCCGTCACCGTCACCGTTACTGTCCTCGTACAGTCTCGTATCGCCTCTCTCCTCGTCGTAATCGTACGGTCGTCGATCGTACGCGTCCACTCTCCCTCTGTCGACGAATCCCTCGTCGTCGTACTCGACGTCGTTGTCCCATTCGTAGTCGTCGTATCCGTTCTCCGGATACGCCGCAGTAGTTTTCGTTTTTCTACGAGAACGAGGGGCCGATCTTCGAACGTCGTACCGCTCCGAATCGGACGCGATGTAGCTTCTCGGCTGCGACGACGACAACGCTTCGTCGATGCTGCAGTAAATGTGTTCGTTGGCCGCGTCGGACATGTCACTACCGAGATTCGTGATTCGTTTGGGTGCCGATTCCTCTTCTCTCGAACGGCCGAGAACGTCCCGCAGACCGAGTTGATCGTCGCCGCTGCAGGAACTGAAGGAATTCCCTTCGGACAGTTCGTATCGTCGGGACGAGCGACGGTAACCGTTCCCGAGCGAGACGTCTGACTCTACGAACCGGTCGTCGAAAGACGGTACGTAGATCTCCGTCTCGGCACCGCTCAACTCGGAATCGTATCCGTAAAACGTCGATCTACGCTTCGACGGCTGGTGGTAATCGTAGTTCTTGGTCCGGGCGAGCCTCCTCGCCTTCTTCGACTCGAGCTTGTCGTCGCCGTTCGAGTCGAAGTACGATTTGCTCCGATCGCCGAGAGCGAGTATCTTGTCGCCGTAGCCCGCGTCGTTGATCGCGAGATTCTTCTTCAATTTTCTTCGAGCGGTTCTCAAGCTGTCGTCGCTGAATATGTTGCTGGACACGGTGTCGTATTCGAAACTCTTTGCCCTGCGCGAAAGCAGCCCGTTGCCCATCCCCCCGAGATCGAACCGATCGGCGTACGCGTCGTGCAACACGTCGTAATCGAAGCTCCTCGCCTTGGCGAATAAAAAAGATCTGCGCGGTCGCGAGCTAACGTCCAAGTTCGCGATGCCGAGATCGTCCGCGGCTTTGAAACTCTTACGATCGTCGCGCGTGCCGGAGAAACGCGAGAACGACGACGGTTCTAATCTAGATTTCGCGACGGACCTTCGTGAGCGTCGGGCTCCGAGCCAGCTGCGCGAGTGTCGAGCGGATCCGGATCGCGCACCGGTCATCGCCGTCGCCATCGTCGTCGAGCTCGTCAGGTACGGAGACGAATACCTGTCGCGAAACTTTTCGACGAGGCGATCGTTGAAGTCTACCTTGAGGCAATCCTCGACGTATATCTCCGGTATACGTTTCTTCGAGTTACCGGTAAGCTCCTCCGGTTTCAGTATGTACCCCGCGGAGACGCTGTACTCGCTGGTCTCCGGGCTGTAATATCTCAGCATGTTCTCGTCGACGGTCTGCGATCTCGTGAACGGTGTACGCATCTTTCTGTACAACGAGCGCACCACTGCGGACTTGCTCCGTACGAGGGGATGCGGGGTGGTGGGATTGTGCTTGCCGGGGTTGTTGCTCCTGGGTAGTTTGGCATTGGTATTGGTATTGGTATTGGTATTGGTGTCGGTACCGGTGGGATTGTTGTTCGGACAGTGACATTCGCTGCAGGGTACCCTAAGTCTGTGCCTGCGCCTATTGCGCCTAGGGGGCAGGGGCATAGGGGATATGACACCGGGTATTAAAACGTTTTTAACTGTCGGTCTGCAAACAATGTTTTTCATATAGAGTTTTAGCGCTTCTGCGATTAAATCAACGATTTCTTTTTGAGCCCATTCTTCATTTAATTTTTATTCTACGTCTTTCAAATCTACTACTTCCAATCATCAAACAACAACAAGAGACTCTAATCGCGCGTTCGCGATCGATCGAACGCGTTGCTTCCTCTTACTTCTGTTATGCTACTATTCTCGATTTCCGTTTCGACTTTCTTTTCGTCTTTTCCATTCTTCGCGGGTCGCGTCTTTTGCCACGGTTCAACGTCGAATATGTACGCGAAAATTCAATTGATTTCTATACGAGTACAGATAAAAAGAATGAGAGAGAGAGAGAGCGAAAGAAAGAGAGAGGAAAAAAATTTTGTTGCACTTGTCACTCGCCGAACAAATAGAAATACGTATAAATGCGGGTTATCTTCGTAGGACGTGCGACGATCGATTCGGTTTCGCTTCGTGATTATACACGTGACATACACGAGTACACGTAGACGTGTAATCCGTGACGTGTTTAAACGTAGGTAGATCTAGCCGTTCGACCAACGCCACGCACTAATCCCTGCTTTATTAGAATGGGACAATATTAAATGGACATTGACACTGTGCATAGGAGGTGCAGTCTAGCCAACCGATCGTAACGAGACAAAAGCGGTATGTAGATTCGATTCGAAAAAGAGAGTAGCGCGGCGGGATTCGTGATGTCTATCGAGCAGGCGGGGGAAGATGAAACGGTGCTGCTACGGGGTGTCGTTTCGTTCGACAATGTCCATTTAATTCAGGGATTATCGTCGACGAGAAGACGAGCCATCCAACGTTCCATTTCGTGCGCGTTGAACGTACTTACATACGTACATGCATGCTCGTAACTCGCGATATCGTTACGACATTCTTATCGCCGTTCGCGTTCGCGGCTTGGACGATCGATGTCCGAGAACGAGAAGAGTGCCAGGGTCCGTTGGTAATGAATGAACCGCGCGAGAGTGAAATTAATCGGCGGAAATCGATAGCGGAATAGGATGTCGCGCGAGATCACATACGGCACGGTGGACGACTGTCTCCTCTGAAGGGAAATCGTTTCTTTTGCTATGGAACTCGTTTTGCTCTGTACACTGACTTTGAAACGCAAGGCAATTTTGACTCGAAAGTAACGAATAGACATAAATGACATCGAACTATACTCACATCAATCCCCTGGAGCCACGTGGTCGTTCCGATTGCGTGCTGAAGGCACTGCTCGTCACCGAGGCTATACTCTCCATATCGGAGTCGCCGAGATCTCCTAGTACGTCTTTGTCGGGGCTCGAGTGTCCCCTTCGTGATCTGTGCATTCGGTAAGCGTGGCTGTGCGGTAAAGACAACGGATCGTGATCGATTGAAGGCAGATCCGAATCCGACAGTCCGCTGTAATGCTTTTCCCAACCTGAAATCGTTCGGAGTCGTTGCCTCTCGTAGCAGAACATACGCGTGCACGAAACGCGCTTTGGAAGGAAAGATGGGGACGCGACTCACCGCCCATTCCCGTACTCCTGTAGGTGTTGTGCACCGGCCTGTTACGATGTCTCATGAATCTCGCCCGATCCTGGAGGTCCTGCGCGGCCCTTTCTTTGAGAGCGGTCGGAATCAGAGGCAGCTGTCTTTTCTTCGGGCTACCCGTTGGCGTGGCCGTCGCCGACCTCGAGCTGAATCTGAAAGATTAGATAGACGACCGTTGAAACAGTTTCGATCCACGTTAGGCAAGCTGGACGGTGTTTTATCGTAATCGACGTCGGACATATCGTACCTGGGTGGAACGTAGCCGTGCGAGTAGGGTATGGATCTGTGTTCTGGCGGAGACAAAGACCGATGACCGGTAGGACTCTGAGACCTTCCACGGTACCGAAGGCTTGGCGAATCCATAGGCGCCGCGCTGTGCGACCGGTGCCCCATCATTGATCGATGGATATCGTCCTGCGGACGGATTGTGAAAAACATCAAAGACAACGTCCACGGGGGACAGACCGCGGGTTCGAGGTTTGGGTTGACGGGAAGGACGTTTGAGGCGTAAGGTGATTGGCGCATACTCACCTTGCGGTAGGTCTGGTAGCCGGAAATAGATGCAGGTTGATCCCGTATCATGAGGGCTCGTTTCCGGCCTTGAGGCGACATATCCCTTCGGCTCCGGTGCTCTCCGTCGACGCACAACTCCCTCTCCGGCGGGGGACTAGAATAGTGGCTGCTCCGGCATGCGTTCAGTTTTTCATCGATTAGTGCGATCGCGCGTCGCGCTTATGATTCAAATCGCGTAAAATAAACGCGGCCGGAGGGGGAAAGCCGAGTGAAAGGCTGTGTGTGATTTCGCGCTAAATTTACAGAGTGCATGCGGCCAGGCTGGTTCTCGTTTGCGATGCGTTTCTCCAGTCAAACGCGTCGCCGCTACGTTACGCGCGCGTACCATCGTGCTCGCTACGCGGGAGCTTCGAGAACTCGCCGAGTTTCGTTGAATACGGGCGATTCGTCGTATACATCGGACAGACCGCAGCTTATCGCGAAATCGCGTGTCACGCGCGAACCTGTTCTAGCTCGAAGCTAGTTACGAGCTGGTATCTGGCAACGAAGCTGAAACCGGGATTCGAACTGCGAATCCTACGCGTCTCAACGGACTCGGACGGGAAGAAGTCGGTTTCGGTTGCCAAGAAGTTAGAAGCCTTCGGAGAAAGGCTGAGAACGAGAACGTTGCTCGGTTGCCGTAAACAATGGAGCGAACCGAGGCGAGAGATCGATCGGCGTTGATCGAGAATGGTTTGGACGGTCCTCGTCATTTCGATTCTTGGCAACCGTAACGGTGATAACTGCAATGGCACAACGATAACCTTGCCAAAACACGGTGATAAGCATCGCGAAACGTCCCTCGCGAACCGTGGCGTGGACCGCCGGTCGTCCAGCGGAGCTGGTCCGTCGCGTCGCGTCGCGTCGCCGAGAAGAGAAACCGGTATAGTCGAAAACTCGGAACACGGAGGAGCCACCCCGGCCGATGCATCCTCGTTGCCTCGTTGCGCTAAGACTAAGCGTTACTAAAAGCCATGTCCTCTCGCGTGATCTAAATAAGTTCTCGTGAGAACGTGGAAGATGCAACAAGCGATGATACGGTCACGCCTACGTGTGTGCCTACATGATCGGTGACCTACTGAATCTCTGCGCAAAAACTACTCCTTCTTACGCTCTTTTTCCTTCGTCTTCGTCTTCTTCTTTATATTCCGTTCGTTCTTTCTATCGTTTTCTCATCTCTTTTATCTCGGTTCGTTTTATCGCTATTTTCGTAATCGATCGGTATCGTATCGCGCGATATCGTCCGATCCACCGATGCGCGATCGACCGATCCGCGTGCAAGCGACGAAACACCGAGAGGGCGAGTAAAAGAGACAACTTCGTTGCCTGCCCCTGGTGACTGCGACTAATATGGAAACTCGGATTTGCTTTATATTATACGTATACGTACCTATATGGAAGATACATATCGTAAGTATGGAAGGTCGACGCGCGAGGGAGCAACTCGAGTACGCCTGCAAGACGTATCGTCGGTTGCGGTCGCTTTAACGAGCACCACGTATTCCCGCGTGAATCACCGCGCGTCTCGCGGCATCGCCAGCGTCGAATGTCGAAGATCGTTTTAGCTCGAGGTTGGTAGCGCGACGACGGGCAGTGGGTGACGAGTCGGAAAGCGGGTCCGTCTATCGCTGGGTACGAGCGAATTAAAAGAAAAAACCAGAGCGGAATTCGAATCGCGACGGACTATCCTGCACGCGGACCTGTCTCATCGCTGCCGGTAATTTCGTCGCATCGCGTGTATCATGATACTACGGGTACCTAGCGGTAGAGAGACGCGAGAACGCGTTCCGTGATTGCGTGAGTAGCGAGAGGAAGAGGAGAGGGGGAAGATTATATGTTGTAACGATCGTACCGCTTATAATTTGACGACATATCGCGGAACCTAAAAAAATAAACGACAAAATGATAAATAACACGCATGAAATCGATCGACGAGGAAAAATTACGGGCTGTTGTTACTTTCGCGCCCTCGAATCTCGGACGGACACGCGTCGATGAAAGGATAAGGAACGAGTAATCTGGTCGCGTAAGGCGCGTCGCGACGCGGCAGCGTGGCTACCGACTTGACCAACGATGGATTTATTAATGTAACCGTAACCGGTGAAACCCTGTCGGATAATCTTATTAGACGGTATATCGAAGGTTATTAAATATCTAAGCGGCGTACAGTGCCGGTTCAGCTTCGTGTCGCGTCGCTGGACGTTTCAATTAGCTATTCGTCTCGAAACTCTGAAGCGTTCCCGTCTGCGCGTCGCTCAGCCGCGGGAGTTTGAAAACGATCGGTAACACAGGTGAGAGAAGGGTAAAAAAATTGGTCAGCGACACGGAGATTGAGGGCATCGTGGATTAATGAAGCGGCACGTGCGGCATTCCGATTCGTTTCTACAGGATTCCTTGTCGCATCGGTCGCATCGACGCGACCTCGAGGCGTCGCGTCGCGTCGCGTTCCGTCGCGTCGCTCGTCCGTTCGGTGAAAAATTGAACAGATTTCGAAGGGCGACCCGCCCAACGCGTCCCGACTTCGCGCGACACGGTACTCCCTTCCTCGAGAATTTCCACGCTGCGTCGTGCAATTTTCAACGAGCCCCGGCAACTTTCAGATATCATCGTTCGAGCATCATCGACTCGAAGAGGGTCGGACCAGATATTCCAGATAAGGCGATTGATCACAAACGAAAGACGGCGAGCGAGCAAGCCGAGAGAATACAACTCGAGTAGTTTACCACCGACGCGGGCACGCACTCGCGTTTCTTTTCATCGTAGAGAAATTCATCACTCGAGAAAGTCGTTAGAACGACGTAGCCGGTCCGAGAGTTCCGAGTATCCCGGATGGCATTTTAAGAAGAATCGACCGATCGAAATTAGAGAAAAAAAAGGAGAGAGAGAGAAGCGGACGGGACAAAGTGGCGGGTTTTGAGTCAACCGGATCTAGTCTCTGGATATCGTATTCCACATCGTGCATCAGCGTCGTCTGATTCTTTCCTTCAACTTTCGAATTAGAGCCACGAGAAGCCCAAACTCCGTTTACCAACGGTACCAACACACCGAATACCTCGCCGGATTCGTACCGAACTGAAAAGGTACCAGTGACGACCGGTGCAGTGTCCGTGCAAACGATAGGAAAGTTAGGACGTGCGTCCCGTACGTGGCGCGAAACAGATTTGTTTCGACACTTCGTTTCAAACGTATTTATCGCTACGCGTCTCCGGCCCTTCTAATTTTCCCCGTTTCACACACGTCGTCCGCCTTAAACCCGTCACTTTGCCGGTGATGTTCGAGTCTCATTTTCTCCATTTTTTTCGCGAGAGGAAGATAAAATATGAGGATAGATCGACTGAAAAGCACTTTGCACTCACAAATAACGATCGGACGTCATCGTTGGAATATTAATATGGATACGGGGCTGTGGAGATGGCTTCCGCAGCCAGCGGTGGTTGCAGGCCAACTGGCATGTCAATTGGCTTGTTGCCCAGTTTTATAACTTGGCTCTCGGCTTCTCTTCTCTCTCTCTCTTCTTTTCTCTGTCTCTCTCTCTCTACCTCCCTCTCCCTAATGCTCTTTCTTGTTCTCGCTGTTCTACACCCTTATTCATGCCCTACCCCTCGCATCGCTGCCAGCATTATCTTCGTCTCTCTCTCGCTCTCTCCTTCTCTCTCTCTCTCGCGGTTGTGGTCGACGGCAGCTTTACGTCACGGCTTCGACGACGCTTCCCGTTAACGCAACGCAAAAACGTTGGTCTATCCTACATTCGTTTAGCACCTATCCTGTGCGATTCATCTAACGCGATCAGGGCCAACGTAATCGAAGCGATCGACCGGTCGAGGAACAACGAAATCGATCGGAGATCGAAATTCGGGACACGCGCAACCGTGCTCACCAACGATGTCCCTGTCGACACGACGGAGTCGAGGATCGGAAGCCTCGATAATGTCTCGACGTCGACGACCTGGCTGGACTCGACGTTCGCGAACGTGGAACGGTTCTCGCGACGCGTGACGCGTCGGCCGTGAAACCGACGCGAATCTTCTTCCCTCCGCTCGCAGATCCGCCTCGTGCGTATACGCGTATATAGATATACGTTACGCATCGTACACGGGTATCCTCCCAGTTTTCGAGAGCAAGTAAAGTAATAGACGCTGACGGGAGAAGAGAGATTCTCGTAGGATGGTCTTACCTGGAGGAACTGCCGATACTGCTTATACTGGCACCGTCAGCTGTTCTCCTTTGCTCTCTGGAGACGTCGCAGTCCGTGATATCGCATTCGGAAGTGTCAGAGTCGCTCAGCCGCGACGTCGTCGACGGTGGACTGAGATGGCAGTCCACCGGAGTTATCGCCATCTCATCGGGCTCCTGATAGTATCTGTGCAACGCGAAATTTAGATCTCACGCTACGCTGCTCTCGCTAGCGCTACGACTAAGGTGAAAAAGAATCAGCCGAACGGATTCGACGGTGGACGGCGCGACGCGACGCGATCGCGAACAGCTGCGACGAAACCGATACCGATACCAGCGGCGCCGCGGTTAGCCTCCGTCGACGGATTCCTTCTCCCTGAGCCCGATTACTCGGCGAGTAATCACTGCGCGCCCTGCTACGGGTCTAGGATGCGGTAGCAATAAGTTTCGTTTGCATTCAGCGACTAAGAAGCGCAAAGAGTATTCGTCAGTCACCAATCTCTCTAAAGAATCTCTCGTCGTTGCAACAAGCGTAACGAATGCGTTTTAGCGATCGACTCAGCGTTTCATCTCACAATCAGAGGCACGAAGACAAGTGGAACATCGTTCTATTGTCTCTACCGAGGTGATCCGCGCGAACATACCCAATGTGTCGGTGTTCGCCGTGGTCAGTCAGCGGTAGCCATTCGGGTTCCTCGTCGAGGCGAGCCGTCGCCAGCTCCAGCACAGCTTCGCCCAAGAAATCGTTCATGTCGCATTTCCCGTAGTCCCAGACGGTGATCTCGAGCGCCCTTTTCCTCAACTCGGGTCTCCTGATTCCCTCGTACACGAACGTTTGGTTCCACCTGGGATCGTTAGTGTTCGCCAAAGTGTTGGTGCGTCTCTTCGACTTCTCGCTGCGGACCAGAACGATCGGAAGATAGCGAAAATGAATAAAGATTACGATTCGAATTATTCCACCCTACTCGAACGGACCGAAGCGTCGCCACTGTTCAAACGTCGATCGTTTACCGTTCGTCGCGACCTTCGACCTTCGGCGCTCGGGGAAGTGCAGGGAGGATAACTAGCGACAAAACGCAACGCGACAAAAGTCGTCGAGTTGAGTCTGATACTCTGACCACTGGCTGCCAAAAAGACTGTCTCTTGGCTCTCGTATACTTCTTTACGAATTCATTTATCAGAACGTCGCCGATGTAAAAGAATTAGGAAACTCTTGGATTCGCGTGCTAGCCAGATGAAGGACGCGACGGTACGATAATAAATCGATCGTGCAGCAGTCCGCGGACTAGCGTTCCCCGATTGCATAATTCCTCTGCACTTACCTCTTATCCGGAAGCAGAAAAATCTTGGCGTATGGATTTCTAGGTTGGCCGGTGCTCCTAGGCATTAGCCCAGCCGCGCAGATCAACGTGACGATCAACCGTAGACTCAGGGGATCGAAGCTGAGCTTCACCTGAAGATTCCCACCGATGTTCGCGTTCCCGGTAGGATGCCGGAGGTGCCTGCCGCGGCCTTGAGCGTGCAGATCTGGAGACCCGGGCGAGGTCACTAAAACCGAAGGTTTCTCGCGCCTCGCGTCGTACAGTTCTGCAAGTGACGATTCGGTGCGAGGTAAGTGTTCGGATCTTCGTAGCTCGCGCTTCGAACGATACGATCGGAACGTGTCATGGCAAAGGTGTAAATGTATTATTACGATTACGATAGGTGACACGACGCTGGATAACTAGGTACATATAAACGTTTACATAGGCAAAGAACGAATAGTAGTTGTGTGTAGCATTCGCCGAGGTAAAGGTGGGACGAAAGGGGTGAGGGGACGGGTTTGTATCAAACGGCGCAAAACGGGGACGCGGGTTCGACGATCTTTCAGTAGAGCACCGAAACGTGGCCCGGAATCTGCGAGGGTGGAATCGAGAGTATCCATCGTGCGATATTCGTCGGGGCACAACGGTCGGGCGTGTAGGCGGAAAATTGGCGAAGCTTCTTGGTTGAAAAAAAAACCTTCCGGGTAAATCGGTCGTTGGGTACCGATCGCTAGAAAGATCGTTTAGCGCGTGCATTAGGTCGCACCGTGAAAATGATGCGGTTTACGACGCTGCGTGGGTACTTACGTACGAACTTCACGGAGTAACTAAGGGGATATGTACGAAATACGTGTGAAGGCACGAAGCACGCGATCGTTTCAAGTTGTTGCTCCCATAAATCTACGTATCGTAAAACGGTGGTGTTAGCAGGTGAGGGTGACACGGGGAGAAAGCTTGCATCGGCACTACTGTCTACGTCTTACTTACGATAACATCGACGATAAGGTATTCGGATAGGTATCTACGATTATAAATACGTGAAACTGTAACAAAGTGTATGTAGGCAGAAGTGGTAGGAGTTGATTTTCCTCGAGCATCGATCTCCCTAATCGTGGAGATCGGCGATCGTTGCTCCTTTACCGCCGTTTCACCCGTGAGAAACTTTGTCTCGGACGAATTTACTCGAACGGTTTCGACGTGGCAGGTAAGTTACGATGTTATTTCCCGAGAGGACGATGAGAAGAGGAGAAACGAAAGAACGGGTAGCGATAGGTAGAACCATAGACACGAACGGGAGAACACCGATTACATAGGGGTCGATAAATGAAAGAAATTTGAAGCCTACCCCATAGAATACATTTCTTAAGACCTGGAATACGAAAAATCATGTAGTCCGTGATAATATACCGTTGCGTTCTTTGCGCCTACTCGTATCAATTACGTACTTATATCTACGGGCTATGTACTAGATAGGATTCTCTACTCGACGTAGGTCGATTTCCGAGCCTCTCGCATCGATCTCTTCAAATTCGTTTACGTTGAACCTAACGATTCGCACCGGTGACGTACGCAAGTGTAATCGTATCTAACGCAAACTATTAGCCGAGTTGCTCTCAAACGAGCGTTCCTGTTTCGATTCGAATTATTGTTTTTTTTTTTTTTTATCAGGGATCGACGCGTATATTGCGTATATGCATGTACCATGATAGGGCTCTATCGAGAAAGAAGCAACAAAGAAAGAGGGAGGGAGAGAGACGGGAGGTGGAATCGGATGGGTAGGGGAAGAAAATGTTCGTTTAATAGAATAGATTGGGAGAGTAGAGAGAAGAGAATAGAAGAGAAGAGCGGAGAGAGAACGAAAGGCATAATCACCTTTGTGGTGCGGTGGCTGAGGACCGGCGGGTATAGTTTCCGGATGCTTTTGTCTCCACTGGGTCTGCGCGCCGGTCCTTCTCGTCGACGATAGATTTCGCGAAACCACCAGTTCCACTTGGGGCGCCGGTCTAGCCTCGTCTATGATGTCGCAAACTTCGCGAAAAGTCTTGCCCTGGAGGGACTTGCCGTTCCACTTGATCACTTCGTCACCTGGAAATCGTCGAATGTCCGATCGGGTCCTATCGGATCTCGCCTCCGGAGCCAGTGGACAACCGGGGGATTTATTTACTCGATGAATACCGGGCGCGTTCCTCGCGCTGCTTCGTAAAGCTGCCGGCTTCGGAAGGATGTTGGCAGGATGGGATTGGGATACAGGTGAACTTTTGTCGTGGAAAAGACCGACAGCCGATTCGTCCGAATTCGTGCGATCGGAGATCGACTGCAATTTTTTCCCTCAAGTTCGAAGGGGGCAAAAGAACGGCCGATCCTAATAGCAGGGTAGCTAGCAGCGGGTTCGCATTTTGGCAGTCGGTTCCACGACGAAGCGAAGGCGCGCGCGTGCGAAAGAGATTCGATCGAGGGGGGAGCGAGGAAAGAGAAATCGCGGGATTCGAGTTTATCGTCCTTACCAGCTCTGAGTTGACCTTCTATGTCCGCCGTGCTACCCTCCATGACCCTCTCGATGACAGCGCCCATAGAGCCATCCTCTAACAGTTTTCCGCCCACCACTTTTAGACCCACTATGTTACTACTGCTTCCGGATCCGGGCTGCTTTCGCAACACCATGTGGCCAATGATCTTCTGGCCGTCTCTGCTCACTTGCCAGGATAACGTATGCTACGAAGCGCGGAGAATCGTTTTTTTCTTTTTTATTTATTCATTTATTTATTTCGATTTTCTTTCCATTCGATAGATAGTTAGGTAGAGGTACGCTCGAACGTGGTTTGTGGTTTTTAGAGAATGAGAGAGCCGAAGGATCGCGCGTCTGACAGCGAAGAATTTGGAAACTGCGACGGAACGCGATAGGGAATCTCGGTCGATTCGCGTATCGAATATATCGCGTATCGGTTTCCAAATTCCGCGCGCGACGACGCGACGTTTCGATAGCTAATAGCTGTATGACGGTAGAACTCGGGAGCGAAAGTGATGACTGGTCGATGATTTCAAGCTGAACATCCTGGAAGAGTGTACATATCTCGCGTCCGAATACGCGAGCCGCAAGTCCGGCTGACCTGGCAAGAACCGATCGCGTCGTATACGTAATTTATACGGGATACGAGAATAGGTACGCGTAGATGATCGGTGGCAAGATATTCCTCTTCCAGGAGATTTCGATGGAAGAGAATCACAAGCTGTCTTCTCGGCGATGCGATGTACGCGATAGATATAAATACGCGTCGAAGGGTACTCGAAGTTGGTACGTTTCCGTTTCGAAGTCTCTTCCGTTTCGAATCGGCACGTTCGTCCGAGTACCCCAACCCCGAAGCATGGAACGTGTCTATGGTGAGATGGTGAGTCTACGTGTTCGAAGATAAAAGTACGCAACGAAACAAAGTAGAAAATGGTAGACCGATCGAGCGGGACAAGAGAGGAGGAAGCACGCTATCGTACATACATCTAAAAATAGTATGAAAACGATCGCTATCAGGTTCATGCTTAACGGCATGCTTTTCCAACGAGCGTACGCGTGGAGTACGAGCGGTGGTAACGAGAGAGCGGAAAAGCGAAAATTAGTAAATAGGTATACGTCTCTTCGAACGTCCGATGTTCGAGGCTCGAGGTTCTCAAGGCGTTTCGGGCATGCAACAACGATCGCGCGCGCGCGCGTACAAACAAAAGATGAAAGGAACGTCGCGAGGAGCGAAGTTCCTCTGTCGGAGGGTGACTCGATCAATCCGATGGATCTACTTTAGGGAGAGGGGTCGCCTCCTTCCGGTTTCCAGTGTTGGTCGTCGTCGATCTGACAAAAGTCGTTCGTGCCGCTTCGATCTCGTAAAACAGTTCCTTCGTCTATCTACAGGTAGATCTACGTACGCGTACGCGCATGTATTGTACGAGCCTAGCTTCGATCGCATCGATCCTCGTACGTCGAGCTGCTTTCGAAATTCGAATTTGGATCGCGTTCAGTTCCTCTGCCACCCCCTTCATCTTTCCCGGCCGGTTTCATTACATTTCGCTCCTCCGAATGCGCGGACGCTTATCCTTTCGCGAATCGCGCGAGGGACGACCGAGACTCGGCTGATAAGACGGGCCTATCGCATCTACTCGTTCCAGTGGCCAGTATCCGTTGTTTCATCAAAATGAAACGACAACCGCGAAACTGATCGACCGGGAGCTAACGAGGTCGTCGAGACTCGCTACCGCTTCGCGTATTCTTTGGCCGTGCTCCAATTCGATTAATTATGAAACAGGTACGCCTTTCTCGACAACCTGGCATCCTTTTTGCCCTTTTAATTGGACGTTTCGGATCCGGAACCGGAACCGGACGAAGATGCGAATCAAAATTCATAACTACTATCCAGCGGGTACGAAATGAAAATAACGCGCGCGCGGCTCGAGAGCACGGCAGCGAAGGCTCGCGTCCGATGGAACGCTCGTCGGGGCTAAAGGAGAACGATCGAAAGATGTTCCGATGGAAAAGAAAAGGTGCGAAAAGGATACGGTATCGGGAACTCGGGAACTCGGTCAATGCACGAGCACACCCGCGCCGCGATTCTCTCGTTCTCGTTGCGGTAGCGGAGAGATTTTTTCAAGAGTTACTCGACCTCGCTGGAAAACGTCGTTTTTATACCACCGCTACTACTCGTACAGGGCGTCTCAACTATACCTTCGAGAACGGTTAGCATTTCTGGTTCTGAATTTCGGAATATTCCCGATTTGTCTAAAGTCGATACGCGCGGGGGCGTTCTTCCGTCCCCCTTGGACTCATGGGTACGTCGAAAAAGGAACTTGGTCGTAAAGCATTTTCCATGCGAGAGAATCTAACATCGTTCGACGTCGTCTTTCATTTTTCTCGTTTGGGAGAGAAAGTCTTCTTCTTATTTGAGATCGTAGCCGGAGTAATTCACCGAACAAATCCAAGCGGGGTTCCGACGCTGCCGCGACGGACGGGATGCGAGAGAGACACGAAAGAATGGCAGCGCCACGAGAACGAAAGCAATGGATCGACATTCGAAGCCGATTCACGGATAGCAGAGCTCGGTCCGACGCGGACGATGGGACAGAACCGCGGCGCGTAATATCGGAAGCCCACCGGCCGAATCCCACGATCCAACAATCCAACCATCCGAGACGAGAGCAGAATGGCTCTTCCGCGCAATAATTCGGTTGTTCCTTTAAATTGTTCCATCGTCTCGCCGTTCGAACGATGAAACGGGTTTAAAGAGATGCTTGAAACGCGAAGTACGCAGCGTAGAATAATTACCTACGTATCGTTGTTGCCGCTTCCGTTCAGACAGCATAAAGGAAGTAATCGGTAGTCGTCGAGAGGGACACAGAACCGGAACAAGTTTATCCAAATTTCGGAAATTCGGGAGCGAATCCGATGTAATGTAAATTATTACACGGTACCTATACGAGCAAAAGGTATGGTACGTCGAAAGTAACGAAAAGGACGCGAATCCAAGCGCGAAAGCCTTTAAGCTCCAAGTTGGAAGATGAATCGAGCAAAAGAGGTTCCTTCGAAGCTCGCGACGTATGGTGCATCGACGACGAAGAATAAGAAAGAAAACATACGCGTGCGCGTACACGTAGATCGAGAGAAAAGAAGTGAAACGTTTGGACACCTGTACATTGCAGACGCGAACGTATGTAGCCGAGATCTCAGCCTTCGTCATGTCTAAATAATCTCGAGTCGCGTCGCGTTTCATCTCGAACGAAATCGACCAGCAATCGAACTGGCTACGAAAGAGACGTTAGACGTTAGCCCATGGCTATCCGTATGCGTCCATCGAACGGCTACTCGAAATGTACGAACGACCACCTTCGATCGAACGTTCGACGGAGATTGTTTGTGTGTGCGTTCAGTCAGTGTGTGGCGTTATTAAAATCGCATAACCGTGAGCGAAAAGATGGAGATCCGAACGTAACTATACTACCAGGCTAGTAGCGATATGTGAGTGAAACCGTTCGATTGGTCGACGGTGGGTATCGTGATCATCCCGCTAAGGCTACACGCTACGTATGCATACGACAGCGGGCAAGGGAAGAGGAAGACTAACGAAGAAAAAAAAAAAGGAACCGTATTCCACTTTGGACGACAAAGAGCCGCGACGATTTTTGCAACGGGTGACGAGTTCGCAGAAATTTGCCGCGATCGCGCGTGACAGGACGAGAGAGATAAATTGGAAAGTTCGCATCTCATCGTATCTTCGATTCACGTCGAGGCGAGACACGCTTGCCGCTCGCGTGACGGATACCCCTTTTACTCGATTGTCCGCGTGCGCCGGCTACATCTTCTTTCTCCTAGCGTAAGTCTAATTGATCGGAAAAAAGCGACTGCCTAGCCATGTTTTTGTGCAAACGTTCGCTCGAGAGAACTCGAGAATCGGAGAGAGAGAAAGAGAGAGAGATCGATGGGACTCTAGCCTGTTGGTGGTTCGGTGATCGAATCATGAATAATAAGATATTGTACGATAACGCATCGGCGATCGTGATCGTGATCGTGATCTTGAAGGCCCGTACCTTGGGCATAAGGTCGCCTCTGTTGCTGTCCTCACTGCTCGTGAACGTGCTAGAGGTGTCTATTCCGGAGTCTTTGGTCGCGCTGTCTTGACTACCTTGCCGATCGGCCTCCCAAGACCATTGGTCCTCCTGAGGGCCGCCGACATTGGTCCCACCGTCAAATCGCACTGTCTTTTTCCCCCTTCTCTCCGTGAACCTGATGGACACGCCACATACACAGGAGATACCGAGAACGAATCTACCGCAGTCTCTAACGCGTCGAACTATGGATACCGCGTCGTCTGCGTCCGTCGAGTCTCGCGTCTACAGTCTACGCGCACGGTTCCTCGACCGGACATGACCGATACAGAACAAGGACCGCGACCCGTGCGCTACGCGGATTCACCGATGGAACCGGTAAAGCAAAAGAGAACGGAGGAAAAAGAAATTGGTCGATAAACGATAACATCCGAGAAACGGAACGCGGACGATTAATAATTTGTTCACGCACCTCCTACTGTCGGCGCGCCACTCGTCACCGCTCCTTCGGAAGCTCCGTCTTACTAGGGTGTTCTCCTCTTTACGCGGCTCTCGCGGCGAATGGCGATGCCCGTTATACTCGATGATCATCGAGGTCATGCGGTGGTGCCCGTTGCGAGATCCGTTGTGCCTACGTCCATCGTCGGACATCGACATTGGACTTCCCATACGATGGTAGTACCCCTTCCCTACAGTAGATCCAAAACGTTTCTTTCCGTTTCGTTTCGTTTCGTTTCGTTTCGTCTCGTTTTTTTTTTTCCTCGCTTTCTCCGCTATTCAACTACGAAACTATCCGTTCGACGAATGTCTTATCGTTACACCGTTCTCTACCTTCCCTCTACTCTACATCCCTTCACCATCCGCAATCGTTTGCCAGCGACCGATCTGTTTTCGTATCCCCGGACTAACAATTAATTTTCTCGTCGAAGTCTACCACCGAGGCGCTACGTTTCGTATCGCATCCGTTTCGATGCGACGACCTATGGACGATCGACACCTAACCACGTGTCCACGTTTTCCTCGCCAAATGCATTATTTTTTTTTTCTTTCTCCGTCCGTTTACGTCCGTTTCGTCTATTCCGTCTACCTCGTCTATTCCGTCTTTATTCCGGAAGTCCGGAAGGCGTACGCGTTCGGGTTTGGTTCGATAATGTAGGTATGTACCTGTCGAAAACGGACAGCGAGAGAGATATTGGTGCAGAGTTTGTCCATCGAGGGTAAAAGTGTGCACAGGGCGGAGCGGTGTGCGAGGGCTGGTCCAAAATCTGCTCGGCATACGCACGGCCGCCGCCGCACCGAAACACCGCTCTGCACGCTTCGTGTAGGTACATGTATGTACGTTGCAAGCTGGTGTATGTACTGTATGTTCCATGTATGGTAGGTACTTGTGTGTACGTGTGTGTACGTGTGTGTGCGTGCACAGTAGCGGCGATACGTCTTTGGGGGGGGAGGAGGGAAAAAAATACCTCGAGAAGGATCTTATCGCTCGCGCGCACGTTCAAGCGTCGAGAAAAGGAATTCCTTACGCAAATCGTTCTCGACACGATTCGAATATCTGTTGTGTGGAGGTGTGAGAAGTACGAGGAGTACGCGAGCCGTGCGATACCGTGGCATAGCGAGAACCGTGTTCCGGGAGAAGGGAAAGCTCGACCGTGGCACGCGCAGCGTCGGGAGAAACGGAAAAAAGACGAGATACGCGAGGTACGCGAACATCGAAGCAATAGAAGGAAAATAGGAATATCTCGGGTATATTTTGGTGAGCGATACGTGTACGTGGCGTGAGTGAGGTGTAAACGATAGATACTTGTATACCTGTGCACGATTCGTAGCCGTCCAAAGTAGAACAAATAAAATCTGTTACAGTTCCGCCGATCGATCGCATCTCCGCGATGAGATAGGTACGCGTACATGGGTGTTCCCCTCACGATTAATCACGTCGATTACCGTCGGCAGTTCGAAACCGCGAGAGTTTCTACGTGTTAACGCGACCTCGCGTCGTTGCTTCGTCTGATTGTTAGAAAAAAGTCGGTACTTTCGCGAAACTCGTACTCGTTAAAGAAACGATCGTCGATTTCGGTCCCTCGTTTCGTTAGGCGCCGTCGAGCTGCCCGAAAAAGGAATGGTGACAAAGGGAAGATTGAATTCGCCGAGAAACTACATTTCTATTTCAAAACAGGATTAGATAGATCTAAGCAGAAAAATCTAACGTCGATGCGTGCGCGATCGATCGGCAGATGACGTACACACACATGCACACGCATACGCAGAGATATACATATAATATTTATATATATAATATGTACAGAGCGTCCCATTTCGAGCTTCGCGCGCAATTCGCTCTCCGGCCATGACCCGTTTCGAAAAATGTTTCGAGAGAGGCAGGTCCTTTGACTCCTTGCCGCCTCGCCTTCGAGACGTTTCTTGGAACCGATCGTAGCCCCGGAGATGATAATTGTTACGCCCGAAACTTCAACCGGGAGACTCTGCACATGTATGCGTTCGGTTCGTATCGGTTTAACATATACGTGTATACATATAAATACACGATATAATATACATATATACGTGTGCGTATATTATATACATGTATACGCATATAGCGGAAAACGAATTGTCTTATTTGCATTTGAGAAAATGAGTAGTACCGCGAGGAACTGACGATTCATTCTGTCCCCGGGCTTCTCCCTCGAGCTCCTGGAAGCGACCACCATGGGCGGCGGTTTATCCCCTAAAAGCCGATCTCTCATTAAATCACACATGTTCCATCGGATGCGTAACGGTGCCTCGCTTATCGCTAAGTTTGAAAAAGAAAAAACAACAGCAGTGCGCAACGCGAATAATGAGAGACCGTTCGCAGCATAATCGTTTCGTCGATTGCGCCGTCTGAACGATTACAATTTTTCCACCCTCCGGAGGGATAGACGCGATCAACTCGAAAACGGTAACGCGGATAGCTCGGTTAAACGTTTAACTAATTCTGCTGGTTCGCAGGGACAATGATGAAAGTATAATTTTGTTCAACTATGCATTATCTGGATTTCTATATTATGTAGGTACACATGTATACGCTAGATAGAGGGCCGATGGTTCGATGCAAACAGAGATAGAGAGAAAGAAAGATAGATAGAGGTAGATAGATAGAGAGAGAGAGATAGAAAGTGAGAGAGGGAGGTGAAATAGAAACGGAAATTCGTATCACTGCTATAAGAACTGCGCTATATCGATAACACTGTATATCGGACACAGCACGTATGCGGTATGTGTATATAGACCTAATGGTAATCGTAATGGATACATTGCAGGCAGTGTCTGGTGTTGTCTCGCTACACGCAAGAAGTAAGTCGTCGATTTCTTTACGATACGACCCGGCCTCGAGAATTCCGGGAGGAAGAAAGTAGAAGAATCAAGGAGACAGGGGAGACATCTCGTTCGTCGCGGACGCGAATAAGGTAAGACTAATATGCACCGACGTAAAGTAAACGTAAAGTGAAGCTATAGACGCGAGGCGGGTGCAAGTAGATATAGTCGGTTGGTGGTCGGACGCGAGACGAGAACAAGTATGCAGATAGTCAGATACAGTCGGTTAGCGGTCGTGGTCAGACGCGAGAACAAGTAGATACAGTCAGTTAGTGGCTGGACACGAGGAGACGCGCGCTGGACCAAATCTCAATCTACTAAAGCGTATTGTAAATTCTGAATTGCTAAATCGATTGGACGTAGTTAGATCTCGCGACGAACGAGATCGATGGGTGGAATATCGAGTTCCTCGACACAGAATAACGATAAAGAGACCTCGGGGGATAAATTGCAGATCGAAGATTCGAACGTCCTGTCATTTGGCAGCTCGTTTGCTTTCTATTCTCATTCCCATTCTCTCTCCGGCCATGACCCGTTTCGAAAAATGTTTCGAGAGAGGCAGGTCCTTTGACTCCTTGCCGCCTCGCCTTCGAGACGTTTCTTGGAACCGATCGTAGCCCCGGAGATGATAATTGTTACGCCCGAAACTTCAACCGGGAGACTCTGCACATGTATGCGTTCGGTTCGTATCGGTTTAACATATACGTGTATACATATAAATACACGATATAATATACATATATACGTGTGCGTATATTATATACATGTATACGCATATAGCGGAAAACGAATTGTCTTATTTGCATTTGAGAAAATGAGTAGTACCGCGAGGAACTGACGATTCATTCTGTCCCCGGGCTTCTCCCTCGAGCTCCTGGAAGCGACCACCATGGGCGGCGGTTTATCCCCTAAAAGCCGATCTCTCATTAAATCACACATGTTCCATCGGATGCGTAACGGTGCCTCGCTTATCGCTAAGTTTGAAAAAGAAAAAACAACAGCAGTGCGCAACGCGAATAATGAGAGACCGTTCGCAGCATAATCGTTTCGTCGATTGCGCCGTCTGAACGATTACAATTTTTCCACCCTCCGGAGGGATAGACGCGATCAACTCGAAAACGGTAACGCGGATAGCTCGGTTAAACGTTTAACTAATTCTGCTGGTTCGCAGGGACAATGATGAAAGTATAATTTTGTTCAACTATGCATTATCTGGATTTCTATATTATGTAGGTACACATGTATACGCTAGATAGAGGGCCGATGGTTCGATGCAAACAGAGATAGAGAGAAAGAAAGATAGATAGAGGTAGATAGATAGAGAGAGAGAGATAGAAAGTGAGAGAGGGAGGTGAAATAGAAACGGAAATTCGTATCACTGCTATAAGAACTGCGCTATATCGATAACACTGTATATCGGACACAGCACGTATGCGGTATGTGTATATAGACCTAATGGTAATCGTAATGGATACATTGCAGGCAGTGTCTGGTGTTGTCTCGCTACACGCAAGAAGTAAGTCGTCGATTTCTTTACGATACGACCCGGCCTCGAGAATTCCGGGAGGAAGAAAGTAGAAGAATCAAGGAGACAGGGGAGACATCTCGTTCGTCGCGGACGCGAATAAGGTAAGACTAATATGCACCGACGTAAAGTAAACGTAAAGTGAAGCTATAGACGCGAGGCGGGTGCAAGTAGATATAGTCGGTTGGTGGTCGGACGCGAGACGAGAACAAGTATGCAGATAGTCAGATACAGTCGGTTAGCGGTCGTGGTCAGACGCGAGAACAAGTAGATACAGTCAGTTAGTGGCTGGACACGAGGAGACGCGCGCTGGACCAAATCTCAATCTACTAAAGCGTATTGTAAATTCTGAATTGCTAAATCGATTGGACGTAGTTAGATCTCGCGACGAACGAGATCGATGGGTGGAATATCGAGTTCCTCGACACAGAATAACGATAAAGAGACCTCGGGGGATAAATTGCAGATCGAAGATTCGAACGTCCTGTCATTTGGCAGCTCGTTTGCTTTCTATTCTCATTCCCATTCCCTGCGAGACGTCGCGTCGCGTCGCCACATCGCGAACACGAACTATCCCGCGGTAACGATGTCGATGAGTGTGAAACGCGTATACGAAATGCGTGATGTCATACGTTAAATACAGTAAACGTCTCTGTGTCGAGTAGTGCACGATACTGCGAAAAGTTGGAAAGAAATTAGGAAAGAGAATGGGACAGGCGAGAAGGTTTTAATCTATAGGAGCTCTCTCCAGGAGCCGAGGATGCAGATCGATCCTGAAAACGAATTAAAACCTGTTTAATTGAATTTTCGCGAGTACGGAAAAAGACTAGACGCGGAGAGTGTCAAAGGAGGAAGGTGATCAAAGGTGAAGCGAGCGGGCAGGCTCGGTGAAAAGCCGAAGCTTCACCGAGACGATCTATCCGTCACGACGTCACCTCTCCCGTTTCCTCATCCGCCTAGGATCCGTTCACTTGACGGACGCGCACCAACTCTCCGCGCTCTTCCGCAAATCCTTCGTTCGAACAGAAACGTTTTGCGTGCGAGCTTCGAGCTCAACGGACTTACCTCTCGTTAATTCTTCTACTACTGTAACTAATCTCTCTAGTCTCTAATTGTATCGTGTGCATCTACGAATGGGAGCAACAACGTCGTCCGACCGACGTCGCGCCGCGTCGCGCTTTTCCACTTTCGCTTCGCGTTTATGACAATCACCCTACCGGGATCCATTTCACTACCGATTTCTCATTCTTCACAATACGTTTGCTACTGACGTGCGTGTAATCGACTCGAGAATGCTCTTTTCTATTTTCGGTGGAATAATAATTTCGAGAAGCGACGGAACGACGAGAAAAATTGTCGTTTCGTTATTTCTCGATCGATTCGCGACTCTATAAACGTTTACTCCAATCAAACGTTCTCTCCTTCGTTCACGTACTTATTAGGAATTAATGTTCGGATATGACAGATTGTTCATGATTTAAAAGGCACTCGGCCAGCGATCTTCGAAATACGACTTGCTCATCATAATTTCATCGGATCCCCATGACAGCTTCGAAGAAGAAACGTCGCGGGTCTCTGAGTTAAGGATGTATTGGCTATACAGTCAATCCCAAAAGTTTATGTACCTTAGAAAAACGCATTTCCTATAATTAAAAAGAAATCAGACGTCGGAAGAATGATGCTAATAATAAATAGCTACGTGCTAAAAAGTATATAAGGAAATATCCAAGTTAAGTATTGACGCTGACTTCTTTTTTCAGAATTGCGAAAAATGCTTCAAATAAAAGTTGTTTTCCTTCTAATTTCGATATTTAACTAGTTACGTATGATTATTTGGCATTTTAGTGATGTTGACAAAATCCGACCATCCCAGCGTCGAAACGGCGAACTTTTGGCAAAAAATTTCGTTTTTCCTCAATTACTCCTAAACTGTTGGTCCTACGGAAAAATTGCAAAAGACCTTTCTTGTAGAGAACGACGAGATCTACAATTTCTATATAAAACTTTTTCGCTAGCATTAATATTTAACTAGTTATTGACGAAAAACGAAAAAGCAGTTTTTTGCAAATTACTCGTTAACTATTGACGGTAGCGAAAAATTTTTACATGGAAATTGTAGATCTCGTCGTCCTCTACAAGAAAGATCTGATGCAATTTTCCCGTAAGTCAAAGGGTTTGGGAGTTATTGGCCAAAAACGAAAATTTGGAAGAAATTGAAGGGGTACCCCTTGGAAAAATCTCGGAAAAATCGAAAATTTTTTGTTGTTGTTTATTATTAGCAATGTTCTTCCGACGTGTGATTTCTTTTTAAAAAATGCGTTACTAAAGTGTATAAACTTTTGGGATTGACTGTATAGCCAATACATCCTTAAGTATGCGCGCGAGTAGTAGTAAGGTGGTTGCACGTAATATTAATTCTAAGAATTTTCAAGAGTTTTCGGGAGGTTGTTTTCGGGACCCGCGTTGCGTCTCGTTGATACTTCCCGTGTTTGTTTGCTGCTTTTGCGAGGAGGCTAGACCAGAAATAGTAAATGGGCAGATGTTAGAGTCCGCCCACGTGTTGGCCGCCTGACGTCACGTCGGTCGTGTGGGCGACGGGCGGACGGGCGTACCGAGCGATACGAGAGGGTAGGGGCGAAAGGAACTGCGGAACGAAAAATGTTCTGTGTCGAGAAAACAAGGGATGCCTGAGTCGAGAGAAACGCTATGAGAGGACGAGGTAGGAAAAAAAATAAGATATTTTGTTATCGTGAACAGACAAACTAGTTTAGAAAAAAAACGCGACGACAACGAATTAAACGAGAAACGGTATCTACGTTATATCTATGTAGTAAATAAATTCTATTACGTACGCGCAGAGTATTGCTTTACCTTTGCATTGATCTCGTATATTTCTATCGCTTCGTCTACCCTCAAGAATCGACGCGCAATGACGGGACTGAAAGGTCGGAACCCGAGAATTCCCGCAGGACGGGATACGCGATCGCGGTGATCTGATCAAGGATTTAACGGAGAAGTTGGGAGGACGACTGCGAGGACACAGATCGCGATCGACGCGATCCAGTAATCCATTCTTCTTCGCATCCTCGGTCAACTCGATCTTCAGAAAAGAGATCGGAGAGATTGGAAGAAAATTTACTGGCAGGAAAAAATCAGCTTAACCCTCGCGTCTAAGGATCTCTCACGGAAGTTGACGATGCAGCTTTGACCCAACGATATTCAGAATCTTTTTATAAATCTTTCAAAAGCGGTCTAGAGAATTAATTTTCATCGAATCTCTGCTATTCGAACATCGACCACTGCGATGTAAAAAAATATAAAAATATCAAGAGAGAGAGAGAGAGGGAGCCAGAGAAAGGAAGACTGAGAGAGAGAGCGGAGGAGAAGGAGAGAAGAGAGAAGGCGAACGACGATGCAAAGATGAAAGGGGAGGAAACAGGCTTTTTTCTCTCGCGACGATGTGCGCCTCGATGAATCGGTTAACTGTGTTAACAGTTCACCGATCATCTTCGCTCATCAACCGTGAACGCGCACCACGTACGCATATTGCCGTATACACCTACCCTCTTCCCTCTCGGATGCGTCGCGTAAAAGCGTCGTATAAAAGCGACTGCCGCGTCGATGTTAAAACGTAGACTGTCGCTACTGGCACAGACTATTCTCGTAGTAGCTTTGCTGTAGTTAACATAAATTTATTCCTCGACTGAGGAAATTACCCGGTCATGCCGATCTCTTTTCATGCGTACCAGTTCTGTTCGAGGTGATCCATATCCCGTATTCTTGTACTTTCGAATCGGCCTTTTACAACCGGAACGGAAGTACGCGAGCCTGCATCTCCTACCATACAGCTCGTTCTTCAACGATGAAAAGAGAACGATTAAATACTGTCGAGGATCCGGCAAATTATGAAATGGGGCGATCGATTTCGCGTCCTGTTCCTCGATCGAAATTCGTACAGCCTTTTGCAAAGCCGCGCTTAAACACGCGTAACGCGGAGAGACTTTTTGACCGCGGACGAGCATCGGATCGGTCGATTACACTTTTCTTGGGTGCGCGGCGCGGCGCCATGCCGGGTCATCTGTAAATACTAGATACGTATACGTATAGAATATATCGCGATTAGAGGTGCACACATTCTCCGTAAACCAATTATTCGCTGACACGGAAAGCCTGCTGTGCTCTTCTCGTGCAGCGAGTTTCAAGGGCAAAGCTGACCCTCTCGAGTAGCTCTCGCCCTCTCCGTAACCTCCGTCTCTTCGTCGCGCGTCACAGTCGATTCTCCGTGACCAGCTTCCAACGACGACGGGATAACTCACCGTCGAGTTCGAGTCGTACGATCAGGTACGCATCGCGGCACGCCGCGAGGATGCGACGTTCTGATCGGGGAAACTACTAATTAATAACTTAGCTGGTAAAAGTAATTTCTGGACGGTAGAATCGATGGCGCGACGAGCATCGGCTACTCGATATCTATACGTACTCGTCGATGTTTATTAGACGCGTTATCGTTCTCGAACTCGAGTGTCGGCGTACGAAAGAAGAAAAAACGTGGCACCATGTATTACCACAGACACGGATACGGCTGTACGCCGTCGCGTGCGTAATCGAATATTCGCGGGTACGAATACGAAAACTCACCCTTCTCGGATTCGTCGGGCTCGTCGCTAGCACATTCGGGCGTGCTTCGTTCTTCCTCGCTGCTGCTGAAGCTCCTCTGAGGCTGAAGACCGGGCTGACCACCGACCGGCTGCGGGAGATGCGCGCTTTGCATTTGATGGACCGAATGCTGTTGCGAGGGATGCATCATGGTTCGAGGTGGTCCCGCTTCTATCGGCCCTTGACCGTACGTCATCGCGAGCTCCGCGTGTTGGTCCTAAAAATCGACGAGGAGAATTCGATTTTCGAGAACGGGAGAACTCGAAGCCACTGATCCGCGAGTACAGACGCGTATACGTGGGTCAGTGACAGAACGGACATCGAACATCGAGATTTCGCACACTGTACGTAGATAAAATTGAAGTACATAAAACACGGCGCAGAAGCAAGATGCGATGAAATGAAACGAGATGAAAGGAGATGGATAGGAAGAGAAGGTGGGGAGACAAGGTCCGCGCGAGAGAGACAGAGATAGAGAGAAGCGAAAGTGAAAGCGAAGAAACATAGATTTTTCGGATCCTGCAGATGCGACAGTTCTTGGCTGCTGGCTCGTAACGGTAAAGCACGCAAAAAGCAAAGATCGAGTAGAAGAGGCGGCGACGATTTTCGTTCCGTTGTTGTTGTTCCACGTTGATTCTGGCCGTTGGACTTCCGATGGGATGGTCACGTACACGAATATCGTGCAATCGCCGGTACAAACCAGATGATGCACAAATGACTGGTAGAATGCTCGGCATCCGTGTTCCAGTTGTTTCCCAGTAGGATTCGATCCGAAGAACCGGGTCCCACTCACCGGAAAGATCGGTCGCTGTCTCTGCTGTTTCGACAGCTGCTCCATGAGACCGTCGATCTCGTCCTTGTAGAGACTTGGATCATCCTCCGGGTACGCGTCCGGATGTCTCGGCGGTTGCTGCGTCTGATGAGTCTGATGGGTTTGATGCGTCTGATGCGTTAGATGAGTCTGAAGCGATGGAGCTACGTGGGGCGTCGGCAAACTTCTCGAGTGAGGCGAAACGGTCATATCCACCCCGCTATCAGTCGTCGACATTCGACGGCCTGAATCCTGTAATCGTCAGCAAAAAGCTGCCATTTCTCTTTTTTTGTTTCGTATCGGAAACGAGCCAAATTCACCGCGATTCTGGTTGCAGCTGCGGTTGCAAACGGTGCACGCGGAATTCGTTTCGCTTTCGTTCTTGTCGCGTGGTCGTGCATATCGGCATGTGGTGAAACGATGCAGCCTTTCGACTCGTCTTTGGACAATTTATCTTCGTTCGATCAGTTTTTGTTTTTTCTTTTTTTTGCTCCCGCCCTAACTAACGACAAGCTCGCCTCTTTGAGCGAAATTAAAACTATCCAAAGACGACGCGGCAAATGATCGGCGGCAACGAGCACGATGAAAGCGACGAGTATGATCAAGGAAGTTAGGGACCGCGCGGCGCGCGTATCTATCGCCTCACCCTTCGACCGAATTCGAACTTGCTCGGCGAAGTGTCTTTTGCGATCGTTATCGTCGTTGTTGTAGCTGCTGTATCGTTGTACATCCAGAGCAACGGTGCGTGCACGAGCGCTACACATACGTAACGAGACCGCGGAGAGCCGACCACCGCGATCTAAACGCAATACTTAAGCGAACAGATGTAAATCGTACTTGCTCCTGCTGCGAGTACTGTCTCTTGAGCAGGTTTCCGCTCCTTAGCAACAACGGCAAATTCTCCTTTTCTGCCGCGCTGTGCGCTCTCTCGAGTTTCGGTCTTTTATCCTGAGCTTGGTCCACGAGTCCCGGAGGACCACCCACCTGCATGTCCTGCATCCGCCGCAGCAACGCGTTGTCCCCGGCGGCTAGCCCCGGCTTCGTTATCCATTGTCCGGTCTTCGACAGCAGTTCTTGCTTCTTGCGGCACAAAATGCACACCCACACTACCTGCAATTCAACGAACGGGTTCGAGCCGATCAGTCGAGATCGTTCGAACGTTATCGGAAGCAGGACGGAGAAACGGGACGAAATGGAGGAAATTCGATAGCTCGCCCGCGAGCAGCCATCTAAAATAATCCGCGCGCAAAGGTGTGAAAGAGAGACGAAACGAGATCAATGACAAAGGAAGGGTTGCAGCGATCGATTCGAGCGTCCGTCGCTCGTGGGACGAAGATATTAATAGGGAATCGATCGAGTTGCGATGCTAATCAATAGAAACCTTCTTTTAGGCTGAAGCAACGAATGATTCGCACCGTGACTCCGTTATCGGCCGTATTTTATATTTTATATTTATACTGCATCAGTCGAGACAAAGCGCGATGAATGAACGTAAAACAATGTTTATATACCGGAGTTCCTCGACGACCACATTCTTTACGTCTGTTCGCGATGATGAATAATCACTGGGTCCACTGGATTCGGAGGACACGATTTCCGGCACGGCGCGTGGCGACACTACTTGGACGTAACGGGTAGAATTCTGTACGAGCACTATAGGAGCGACTAAATAAATAGATCGTAAACGTTAAGACTACCCGCGTCACTGTCATCCACGCACGTACGCACCAAACACGGAATCGGACGAGTCGTGGGAACGCATCTCGTTCGATTGCGAGATTACGAGCGAAGGCGACGACGCATATTAACGACATAGAATAGGATACGACGCGAGAAGAAAACGCGTCGTCTACAGTCGATTCGATCGAATTTACGAATCGACATGATTCCCGAGCGTCGCGAAGCACTCGCCTCGGTTCGGCGAGTAGCGTCGGAGAGATCGAGGGACTCGCGCATAGTTCCGCGCGCTGCAAACGAAAAGTACGAGTTTCTTTTTGAAGAACTTGCAACGAGCGAATCTGGCTGCAGACTGACGAGGTGGCCCGGCCATGGAACGGAGGAACAACGGAGAGGAATGCACCGAACGGGAAAAGAAAGAGAAAGGACGCGAGTGCAAAACGGGATAAAAAGGGAGGCGAAAACGAGAGAGGGTGGAACGAGAACCGAAGCGGGAAAGATAGACGGCGGTAGGGGGTGGTGCGGGCTGAGAGCACTCGCTCGAGTTGCCTAGGTAGCAATATGTCAAGTGCTCAACCCCTTTCCATCGTTCCCACCACCTTCTCGCCGATCCTCGTGCCCCCGTCGCCGCAACCTACCGAGCATTCCCATCCGCGTAGGTAGCTCGGTACACTTTCCGTACGTGCGCGCTCTATTTTCTTTAGCCTAAAAAGAGGAAAACGTAGTGGCCGTCGTCGACGTCGCTGGCGTTGGTGTTGATAGGAGCGAGAGTGGGAGTCTCGGATGGCCCTGGAGTCGTTCTCGGTTCTCTCTTTCGTTGTTACACCGTAGTAGCGGAGGAGGGTTGGCGGAACCTGCGGGGGTGGCGCGTAGCGGTTGCGAGCCCGGGAAACGAGAACTCGGTCGTAACGTGTAAATGATGATTAGTTCGCCGGCTCGAGGCGAGTTGCCGGTGATTTGCATTAATTAATTAGGAGCCAATTAATTCCGATTACTTTATCACGAACCATGTATACGCAGCTCGTGCGTAGGTCCGTTCGGAAACGACCGCAAGACCGAATAATCGAACACGATGTTCGATCACCTGTCTACCTGTGTATTATCCATTTTCACTTGAAATTTATTTTACGAACGTTGCCTCATTAAGTCCGACGAGCTACGAACTGCGCGACCGAAATTTTACATACAGGTGCGGTCGTCTGATTGTCTTCACCGAGAAAAGCTGGAAGCAACGTATCGAGAAAGGACTGATAGTTTTGCGAATGCCTCGAATACCTATTCTAAAAACTCGAAGAACTTTCGATTAATCTCGTCCTCTTCGTTTTCGAACACGGAACCTTATTCCTGTATCGCTTACACGTGGACTCGTACAGCTGGGTTCCGAAACCGCGTATCGTGTTCTTCCGATCTCAGTTTTCCAATTTCTCTTCGTCAAAATTTGAACGTAAATCGACGAACGACCGAATTACTAAACTTACAAGTTTCGACTCGATATCGGAGCCTCGAAGGCACCGAGTGGACGACTAATTTCTCGATGGAGGAAAGGAGGCAGCCGCGTGGGAGAGAGACGACGGGGGAGTAAGGGATGGAACGTGGAATACTTCCTCTGACATTCGTAGGGATCGCGATTAGAATTATCATCGGTCCACTCGCTGCTCTGACACGAATACCAGAAATAGACGATACGTATCGATACTCGGTTCCCGTGTATTCGGTTAAATGAAAGCGCGGAATGGATCAACATAGACGGAGAAACCGTCTACCACGGATCTTGCCATGAGCTATTCGCCTCCGCGTGCCTCAGTTAGGTTTCCGGACATTTGCTAATTTCGAGCTAGTTTCGATGTTGATCCCGACTAGCTATAATTCTGATGACCGCGCAAACTATGCGACCGTTAGAGTCGTATCGTGCAATCGTCTATTTACGAATCGTGAATACGTAAGTAAGCGTATTCGTTCGAGCGTTTTTAAGGTATTCGCGAAGCGTCGAAAGCCTAGATCGAGCTATCGTGACGATACCGTAATCGTATCGATTAAGAGGAACGTTCGAGTCATCTACTCGTCAGCGATTTAGCTAATTTCATTAAGAAAAATGCAACGGTCGTTTCCTCGTTCGACCGCGCATTCACCTACGCGCGACGATCGCGTCACGACGAGCCCAGCCGAGGCCAATGGGGAGACCGACGCGACGGTAAGGACACCGCGATGAAAGGAAGGACGACGCAAACTTATCGTTTATCAGCCACCTTCTACTCGACGTTTCACCGCCTATTCCAGTTCGTACCTACCCGAGAACCTCCGTCCGCGCTAACCCATTGCAAGCTCTGTAACCCTCTCTACGCGAAACTTAACTCGGATCAATATGTTGCGTCACGTTTCGCTCCCCCCGCGTGCCGTGTGCCTCGCCGTGTGGCTCGCTCGACAGCCATCCTCCACCACCGCCACTGCCACCCACAGCGTCGTCCACCCGTTTCAGCCCTCCGTTGCTTGCAAAAGTGACGTCATGCAGGGACGCGCCCCATTCATACGCTCTCCCACGCAGAGAGACGAAAGACGATCAAAAGAAAGCGAACCCCTTTAGAATCGAAGAAGTAACGTTAACGCGACTCGATCGAAGGAAAACAACAGAAGAGAGTCGAACAGCGCGGAGAGCGCTAAGTTCTTTAGATGAAACTCGAAGCGGTTGTTTGAAAGATCGGTAATTCCACCATTGGGAGAAGGTTTTCATTGGTATGCTTGAACGTAAAAACGAACCTCGTGAAATGTTCGAGCGCAGAGGCGCGTCGAGTACTCGAGGTTGACGATGGAGAACAGAAGTAGTGGAGTATCGCATCGTTGCGCACGGTGGAACGTTACCAACGCGTACTTCATACAAAAAGGTTGAAAAGAAGAAAATTGGAGCGGCGCGCCGCGAAACACGATTTCTACGAACGCGAGCGGTGCGTACGCTTTCGATCTCGTTCCTACCTTGTTCGAACGTAGAGTGACTTTTCCGCCGCAGCGTGCGCAGCACCGGATGCTGCAGTAGTTGCAGATGTGCCCGATGCCATCCGCGAATTTCGTCTTCAGGCATATGTGGCACGTGACCTGGAGCTCCACGCCTCCCGCCTTCTTGTGTTTCTCCGAGCAGGCACGTATCATATCCTCCAGGATCTTCACCTCATCCTGTTTCAACCTATAAATGATAACGCGATCGATTATGCTTCCGACTAACTTTTCGAAACGCTTCGATCGATTCGCGAGCCGCCTAAAGCTTGCGACGCGTGATGCTCTACGTTTCTACAATTCTACATTCTACGCACTGGTACGGTTCGATCTGCCTGCGTTTCGCAAAAGGTTAACGGGAAATGGTTGCGAGCGGTGCGGATAAAGCAAGAGCGAACGTCGCGAGCAAACGTCGAGTGTCGTCCAGATCGTTCGATCTCCTTTTTTTAAAGGGTGCGACGGGAAGGTATAAAAAAAGAAGACTGTTCGATCGGGGCAGCGCAGCGGTAGGTAAACACAAAAATAGGATTGCAGCGGAATCGAGGGAACGGTCGAGCTTAAATATCGATGCGGAGTCAATTTATCGGTGAGGTAATTGAACCGAAGCAGAGCATGGCCAATGGTATTGATTTAGATCTAATCGCTTCTAACTTACCGAACGCATCCTCGTATTTCACGGTGAGGCTAAAGACGGAACGCGATTAACTACATTTTTAGTTACTCTCTTCCATCCTTCGAGTCCTGACCTGATCCGATCGACTCGCAATTTCACACGGGACAGACGCGGCATAGAGCGACGCGACGGTCGACTTAGTTTCGAAGGAAAAATTTGCGTTTTACAGCGGTAACCTAAATCTCGAGTTTGTCGATCGAGTCAAAGGTCGTAGCTGTACGTCACAGGGGGTACACACTACACACGTGCGCGAGTAGTAGGTATTTACTTACGTGCCCGCGCACCGCCCACGATACTCTAATTGCTTTACCAATAATCGCGCGCGTCGAGCACGCAACGACGCGGTGCGGCGTGGTTGCGATCGGTCGTGCAGGAACGGAAACGAAACCGAAGAGCGAACGGAAAGGGAAACGCGAAAACGTCGCGTCTCTACGGCTGCGTTTTCCCACGAGACACAAGGACCTGTCCGTCCCGACCGACCCGCGAAAAGAAAAATATTCTTTCGCGTCAAAGAGGATAGGTACAGAGAGAAGGGGTGCAGAGGAGCGGATCAAAGGCGCGGAACCGAGAGAAGAAATGTAGGTTACCGAACGAACGCCTCCCGTTATTTCACACTCTGTCGCGACTCTTCTGTCCCACAAAATGTCTGTGCGACACGATTTTTTAAAAGACGCGTAATGAAACATCCTCGTTCTCTCCTCGATATTCATTTCGCGTAACGAATCGAGTCACTCGAGTTTAAAGTTAGTTTAGTCGAGGCGAGGGAAGTCGCTAACGAGGAATTAGGCTTGCATGGAATCGGGAGACGATGATGATTACGTCGAAAAGTTCCATCGATTCGTGTACGCGAACGCGGACTGGAGAAACGACACGGGGATGAAAGAGGGTACGTCTATTTTTACGCGAGTTCCCTTCTGACGGTTCCGACGTGGCAACCAGTCTCCTGTCCGAGACAAAATCGTTGCCGCTTCTCTCTGCACGGACTGCGGAAACCTAGCTCTAATATTTAAGAGTCCAATCGGATTCGTTCTCCCGATTCAGCATCTTTTGCACTCCGATCATAATTCCTGTTCACATCCCCTATATTGGCTGTACATATGTAGTTACGCGGGACGGCGGTAGCTCGTTACCGGGCCACGTCGCGTTGAGGCTTGCTCCTTTCCATTTTACACGCGTCCCTACACGTACTTGACGAATCCACGTTACGTACGCGATCCCGCATCGGTGTGACGAAGCACGCTTTCCTCATTACTCCGTCCCTCTCCCTTTCGCGCTTCTCTTTCGATTCGCTCGCTGTCCCTTCTGTTCTTTGTCCACGCTGTGCCCACTTTCTTTCTCTCCGCTTCTGTTTTTCGCTCGACTGCTTTCTCGCGTTCCCGTTTTCGACGAGCAACGACCTATCGACGAAACGCCTTCCTCAAGGAACGACATCCATTTTCCCTGGCACGGCGACGTCGGGCCGCGTCACCACGCTGAAATTCTACCACCGTAAGTGCACGCGACCGGGCTAGCTAGACAGATTCTGTCCGCACCGTACGGACTGAAATATCGAAGAACGTAAAGATCGCGGAATACGAAGCTAAAACCGTTCGTTCGGTCGAATCAAGAACAATTGAGGCTTGAGACCCGACAGTTATATCGTTTCTTTCGACGAAAAACGATGCCCGAAAGAACTCGAACTGATTAGTCGTTCGGGCGATAAAAGATGAGCAGGAAGATAGGATGAAAATACGCGAACGATGGGCGACTCAACCGATTTGAATTTACCGAATAGAAAATAATATCCTCGAATAGATTTGGCAACGCACCGGCGCGCGTTGCATCTCGTTTCGTCCGCTCAGTGATTCGCTCGTACCTTGGGCCAGACGCGGTCTGATCGTTCGTACCAATACGACTTGTCGGCGCAGTTTTACTTTAGAATTTTTAAATGTTTGGACGCAGGAGTACGCAACAGGGCAGAGTCGCTCGATTTTTAATAGTTCAAAAGCATCTAAACGTTTATCGATTACGAGAAAGGAGGAATCCAATAGAGATACAGATATATGTATCTATAATTAACGTTATCGGGATACGATTTTCCATTTAAATTGTTCGAGCATTGAAAAAGTAGTCGATTAGGTACGCGTAACTCGCAGCGTCGATAAGTGAAACGAGAATATCTTCGCGATCGAAGGATTTCGAATCGAGAAGCGGGCAAAAGATTGGGAAGCGAAGTAGAAGTAGATCGGACCGGTACCTAAATAAAGTAAGCGCATCGTGGGAGGCAACGTTAGCGAGAACGACTAAACGCCCTCCGTGTTATCGTTCGAGATTTGGTAGGTAAAACCGTACCGACGTACCTCATAATCTCATTTTCCTTCTCCTCCTCCTGCTTCTGCCTTATTATAACCTCCTCGATGGTGCTCCTCTCCTCGGGGGTGAGGTGCGACATATCAGGTACAGCCGCCATCACGGACGTAAGATAGGAACGTGCACGGGAATATCTAATCGCGAGGAGTATAGGAGGACGCGCGGGCCGGCGCAGCAGCAGCACCGTCGACGTCGCCGATACGGTGATACCGTGGCGATGATCGTACGCCAGGCGAGAACGCTCGTTTCTACCGTTCCTACGGATATGGGATAACGACCTTTCCTTTCTACGACTACGGGAAAGCTGTGACGTACGGAGGGAGTCATCCGACACCTGGTAATCGGCGCACCTCGTCGCGGCAGTACGCGCGATTCCACGAGAAGCGCGTATTCCGTGTCCGCGTTTTCGTTCCTTTCGAGCCGACGACTGGAGATCGTTGCCTCTTTTTTTCTCGTTCTTCCTCCTCCTCTTCCTCCTCCTCTCCTCGTTTCTCTCTTCGTTGTCGACGTCGATACGCGTCGGAGAACGCGGGATAGCGATTCGCGACGATCGGCGCGCTGCCTGGAAGCCCGTCGACGACGACGACGAGCACCGCGTTCGCCCGATGTTTCACTGGACGACAAGAGGCTGAAGCCGCACGACGCCCCTCGATCTCGCTGCCTCTCATGCGACGAGCATCGTCGAGACGACTCGTCGGGACATCGGGCATAGATCCGTGATCCTCGTCTTCGTCGGCGCCGTCCGCGTCGTCGTTGTCTCTCGTCGTACGATTACCAGCGACCGCATCCGTATGACAAGTCATGTTTCACAGTCTGCGTGGAGGTTCTCGCATTCTTTCTTCCGTTCTCGGTCCTAGCCCGTGCGCTGTGCTCCGAGTCGGCATCAGACGATCGGCGAGCGGCTTCGTTTCGTTCCCCAAGCCGAGGTCGGGTGTTGCTGCCGAACCGACCTCTTTTTCCTCCTCCAGCCTTTCCTCCCCTTCCCTCTCCTTTTCTCCTCCTCGATATGGCGGCTGTGAGGTTAAAATGCGCGCACCCCTCTTCGATCTCTTATCCGACCTGTTTTTCTTCTCTTCTCCACTCTTCACCTTCTTTCTCTTCCTATTATCTGTTTCCCGTTATCCTCCCTTTTAACCGATCGATTTGTCGCTTACGTACTCCGTTTCCTCCACGTTTTTACGAGATCAGCGTGTCGAAGTTCGTCGACGCAGCCGAGTTCAGGAGTACATCGATTGAAAACGAAAACAGGTCACGGGTGCCGTTGGTGCACTCGTTCCTAGCGTACGACGCGCTAAGCTCGGGTTCTTGAACTTAACGGGAGAACGATACGCGTGATTCCGTACGCGCAACCAGGCCGGAGGAAATCGGTGAGTCGGGCGAACTTTTCAGCGATCGTTGCGATGAAATACGATCGCGTTCTAACGTCGCACGCACCAGCTGAAAACGCCACAATGGCTACGTATTCATCCGTGCAACGTTTTCAGAATTTCATCGATCGACGAACGGAAACGGGTCACTGAATCCGTCTCGGGATCTCTTCCTTTCACTCCGTTCACACGAAAAGTGGACACACTTCCCTACACTGTTTCTCTTTTCTCACGGATCGCGAACCGACAGTCGCGTTCAGTTTGGTCCATTCCGAACGGGTGGTCGGCGATAATTCAAAGGCATAAAACGGACGATTTAAATGCAGTTGATAGACGACTCCTTCGAAAGAGAGATGAAAGCGCCATACGCGTACGCCGGAACGTCCAGCGTAATTTCTAAGGCCTATACGCTCGTTCCAAGCGACGTTCGAAGCCACCGATCATAATTATTTTCCTCTTTGCTAGTTTTGAACGATTCACGTGGCGATCGGGACGACGACGACGGCGACGGTGACGGCGGCGACGACGACGACGATGGCGCTCTACGACGTCTCTGCAGCGACCGCGACACCCACACGATCAATCGTTCTAGACCGGGTCGTTCCACACCCACGAGCCACGAGAACCGTTTTCTCTCAGCTGACCGGCCGTGCCCGACGCTTTCGAGTCGCGACCGCTTTTCTTGACCGATTACCACCACCCTCCAGCTTACCGTATGGCAGCTGTTATCTCGTTCGCGAATCCCGAAAAAAGAAGGTACGCGGACGTTTCCGTTTCGCCTTTCGTGTTTTCTCGCGTTTCCTCTCCTTCTCTCCTCCTCTTCCTTCGGTTGAAACGATCGCTATACGATTTTATCGAAACCGATTAACTCCACACTTGGCCCCGACGAGAGTTTCGCAGAGGCTCGCACCAGTTTCGTACGCGCGGAAGCAAAAGTGTTTGATCGGTAGCGATGATTATCGCATCGCACTTCCGTATTTTAACGTTTAATTCGTCGGTAAAACTCGATGTTAGAACGCGACACGAATGAGCTTATTCCACACCCCTATCGCGCTTATGTTCGCCAACGTTCCACGATTGGTACTACTCTCGCTGACGCTGACTGCTCGCTAGATCTCTCCTTCTCACCTTCTTCGCCCTCTCTCTCCCTCGTACGAAAACCTCACCCCTCGCTCTTTCGTCCCCCCCGCTGTCACCGATCGCCTACAACTTTCTCCCTCTACCTCTACCCCTATCGGTCTCTTCCGTCTCGCTCGTTCGTTAGCCACCCTCGAACTCCATCTCTCTCGGCGGCTGGCTCGCCGCGCACTCCACCACCTGCAGCAACCTCCACCTCTGTCTCTCTCTGTTCCTCGCTTCCCGAGCAGCCCGCTCTCCTTGTAACGGGCTGAAACGAGAAAACCGATCGGCCCGCGAAGGGGCCTAATTTCCGGCCGCGAATCGACTTCCCGTTAGGCCGCTACGAGCCACGGTCCTCGGTTCTGAATGCCAATTGAAAACACGCGTTATCGTCGTTGAAAAAAACGCAGAAAGCGAATCGAGCCGAATCGCGGATTCCACCGCGGAGGAACCCTCTTCCCTTCGATTTCGTGCTCGTGGTCGGCCGGTCGCTCGTACTCGACGACCGCAGTTGCGCGAACTGTTCTCACCCCCTCCTCCGGCTACCGTGTTTGTCCGTCCGAGATCACCGCCACCCAGCCACCAAGGTTTCCGCTTCCTTTCTTTCTTTCTTTCTTGCGTACCTAAGCCTCCCCGCCGATTCGCGCGAGCCCAACCATTTACACAGCGATTTTATACCCATCCGTGCTTTCCACAACGACGATGATCCATGAGCCACCTTCCTTTTTCCTCGCTGTTCTTAATGCACGGCCGTGATTCACCGTTCCCGAAACGGTGGAAAAGGTGATCGGTGAAAAACGTCTATTCATGCGGTCTTAATAAATAATGGGATGCGGCGTACGTCCGAACCAATAAGGGCCACAAGCCGTACTTACGTCATGGAAAACCTGGTATTGATCTCACCCCAGGCCAATGGGGTTTACCGCCGCAACGGTACCACTTTTCCTGTTCTGGCGGTGAATTCGAACGCGATCGAATGTATCACGGCCGGGCGTCTGTAGCCCGAGAGACTACGAGTTTTCGAACTCTCCGAATTCCATAAATTACTCGCGATTAGTCAGGTTCAGAACTATCTTGAATTTATTCATGGTACGAGAGTATGAAGTGAAGTCGAAACTGGAGAAGTTCTCCAAGTCTTATATCGATCGAAGCTCGGAATAATAAATAAAATTGGAATTCCGTTAAACGTTTACGAGTTACCTACGCTTTCGGCTTACATTGGAAACCGAGATGTACGAATGTACTTATACGTATCAATGTATTCGCTACCCACGAACTGTCTGACTTGTAATATTCTCATACTACTGGCTATTGTCTAAACTTGAACCCTTGTTGGCTCTTTGCTAATAACAGCACTCTTAAATCATCAGTGCGCCGCGCGATATTGATTTCAATCTTCAATTTGGAATTATTCTTTCGTACAAGAAATATTTCAAGCCTCGCCCTCTTTCTCTTTCTCTTTCTCTTTCTCTCTCATTCTCTCTCCCTCGCTCTTCCAGGCTGATGCTTACGGCACAGCCCGCGTATCGAATGTCGATCGATTAAGAGCAAACATTAAAATCAGCTGTCAACGCAACGACCGTCGCCGATTAATTTAGAACGATACTCAGAATGTTAAAAAGCTGTTTCGTATATTTGTTTTTACAGAGTTCAACGTTCGAGTTTAGTGGAGTCTGGAGCGAAGCCAGGACCGCCGAATGTTTCGCCGTTGCGGCTAAACTGGAAATACATTGGATGTGCAACGTGCATCAATTTCTGGGTGTAATAATCGTATAAATAATTGGTATATTTTTATTTTCTTACACGATCGCGATAGTAAATTTGATCCATCGCGTAGGATTCAATATAAAATAGACCAATTACAAAATTGTTCTCGCGTGTATGAATAATGACAATGTCGTATCACACAGAAACATACACACACATACACACACACACACACACACGCACACATTCGCACACGCCTTCCTTATTAATAAGTGCAACGTCCGCGTTCCAAACGATATTGAGAATTGTACGGATCCGCGACACGCGACACGCTGATTAATAAATATTTATTCTTTTACGAGTATTATGAGAGCAGAACTTAATATTTGTTATATGAGTTAGTTGAAACTAAAAATAAGTATACGTAGACTGCGCGTACTTTATCGGTAGGCGTTTGGCACATGAAATGGCGGGTTACGATTAAACTAAAAGCGCGAAATATCGATTAAAATCCAATCGCGAAAATAAAAATCTAAGCAATAACTAGATTAAAATTACCGTGGACGCATTATTTTAATCGATGTTCTGTCGGACAGAACGTATTTCGTTCATCTTCCGCTCGGTCGACAGATCGTTAACGAATAAATGATAAATAATTAAGTGCGCATCGTGACATTTAATTACCTCCTACTTGATTATAATTATTTACATTATCTTGATATAAACATAATATAATGCGATCCGTCGCGGCATTATATTCTCTGTGTTGAATGTACATTTCTTTCGATCGACGCATACATCGCAAGTATGTATCTAGATGTACCGATAAAAAAAGTTAGAAAACAGTGAGGACAATATAATATTCTACAACGTTTGTTTCACGCAATGGCATCGGCTATTAGTTATACATAACGTGTAGCTCGTAGGAAATTCAGTCAAAGTGCTATCAAAATCATTTAAAAATGGTATCGAGTGATATTTTCTAAATATATACATTTTTCCGTTAAATAACCGTTTTCATATAAATTTAAAACATTTTTGCTTATCGTGAGGAATTCTTGTTTTGAACAATATCGAGTCAGCTCGATATTGCGTACTTAGAAGAGGCATGTATCCGAAAACCTGCAATTGATATAATTAAGATCGCTGTACTCACGAACCGGTTGTGCGATAAATAACTATAGAATAGCTATAGAATTGAAAAGTGAGAAACGTGAAAGTTACTTGCCTGAGCAAAGAAATTGATGCATTTGTGCCTTTCTTGAAAGTGAGTATCGTCTTCCGAGAGCGACACCGGACAACCAGGGCATCTGAACGTCCAACGGGATGTGACCTGAACAAATGCGATTGCGAGACATTGAATCGAACGGCAATCACCGAGGAACGAGGATCACGTGGTATGTATTCAATATAATGCGCGTTATAGTTACCTTGACGGGTGGTTTTCTCGTGAGATGAGATATCAAGAAGTTCATCGCGATATCCTCGCAATTCATATATTCGTCGACTTTATCTCGTATGGCTTGGGGTAGCCAATGCGTGTAAAGATACGTATAATGTTTATGTATGAACGCGGCACCGGTCAGCACCATTGATAATTCGCACGAATAATTCGAATTGTAGTTCCAAGCGTTATGATAATTCTGGTCCCACGCGTGAAATCGACCAGGAAATCCAACGACGCGATCTCGGTGTTCTCTCCATACGCGGAATCCAAACATAATTTCGTCGTGTCGTAAGTGGGCGTCGTCATCGACCGAAAGAACGGCTTCCGTCTCGATTGCATCGAACGGCAGGAATCTATTGTTCAGACTGTTCCTCGGTGCCTTAATCACCTGTGCAAACAATCGTTCGTTCGTCTTCGAATCGATTCGAGTACAATTCGCATAAGTTCCCAAGATTTTCGAGACAACTCACATGAATCGGAACACCGATGTCAGGCCATTTCAAGTCTTCCATAGGCGGTTTCGGGCTGTTCCATACAACTAGGACTTTGTTCAAATACGGCAGTCCGTACAATCGTGCCAAAGAATTTACAAGGACTTGTTCTCGTTCGTACGTTAGCATTACGATTGTAAACTGTTCTCTCGGATAATTTCCGCCCAAAGCTTCGCTGAATTCTTTGCCAGCACCTCCAGCACCTTTACCGATTGGCCTGAATCCCACTTCGGAACCTATACGATGTGCATTATGCGACGCGTTGAGCACAAAATATTCAATTAGATAATGAAGAGACTTATAGAAAAATCGAGTTGTTCATTATTTACCGAGGAACTTTGCATCGCTCGGAAGCATGGTATCGAATGGCAATTGCGGATATAAATAGAACGGATCGAGCCAATCGTTCCAGATCTCGTGTCCTTGGAGCAACATCGTTGTATAATTTCTCTTAAAGGCTGGAGACGAATAAGGTGGTTCCAAAGGTCCTAAACTTTCCTCCGCTTCCGGTTCTGCGATAATACTATCGGACTTCAAAGGCTGGGCGAACAAAAATTACGTTACGTATCCGGAACACAGTATCGTACAATATAATAGGCAGTAGCGTTTACCACAAAACTTTCGTTAAAGACGCTTGGACTGGCAGTTTGAGGTGCGGGCAAGGGCGGAATACCGAGTCGATCTCTGATCACAGCTACGATGGTGTCCACTGCACCTTGGGCAGTGCTCAAATAACGTTCCCATATTATTCTGCCCTGTCTACGCATACTTAATAGATCGTTGTCGGGAACAGCGCGCAGCAGGAAATGCATTTCCGTCACTCTGGCCTAAAATCAAATAAAAGGGCATGCGCGTTACGCGTTGAAAGGGACGATCAAAAGCGATGATCTTCACCTTTGGCAAAAAGATTGCTGCCCGACGCCAACTGATCACTTCACTGTAGCTCAATAAAATTTGATCACCGCCTAGGAAGACCGGGATCGATCCTGAACGCAGCGCCTCATACAATCTAGCCTGGATGGACGAAGTAGTTACGAACGAAGCGTTGCTAGGAGCTAAGATCAAAGCGAACGTAGACTCCTTGAGTATAGCTTTCCTCGAGGAATCGGTTCCACATAGAGACCAATCGAGTTCTACTAGATTTTTCTCCTCGGACGCCGGTATACATTCGAACTGAATGAAAAATTTATCGAGCGTCACTCCCGTGCTCATGTCTTTAAGGTGTTGGATGATAAAAGCATCCAAGTTATTCTCGTCGACCGACAACTTTTCCATATCGATATCGGCGTCGTCGATTTGTTGCGTGACGGCAGTGGTGGCCCTCGAAGATCTCATCTCGCCTTGAAAAGATAGTAGGTACTTTCTTCTCGCGGGCAACATGTGTGCACACTCTTGCCACACGTCGCCACCGGGAGGTCCCAAGATCGGTGGAACGACCAGGTCGAAACCATCGCGAAATTGATTTCTATGGAACGTAGATTGCACTATTATAGCTCTTCCGGTGTCTGTGCTGCTGTAAATGTCTCCAGATTCTGCGGACAAGTCTCGGCGCGCCAAGTTTAACAAAATATGATTTCGACCATCTCCACCCCAATAAGGGAGTGCGTGTAACTTTTTCACGTCTATAGGCTTGCGATGTCTCTTGTCTAATTTCGGTTGCGTAGAAAGAGCTTCTCCTATTAGCACTATGTATATACAAGCTTCGGTCGCGTTTGCAGTGAGGTGCGGATTGTATCCTGTAAACAAGAAAACGGATCCGTTCGTAGAACATTACTTATGCACACGCGCGAATACAATCAAAACCACGTGCTACGTAAAATAGCAGTACATACCTAGCGTTTGTTTAATAGTGGTCTTTAAAAACCCGTCAACATCCCAACCCAGATTTACTACTGAATATCGATCAGGGTCGTACAAGTATATCGGAAAACCACTAGTTAACGCGCATCTGCTATGATCGAAACAGTTATACATTCTGCATGAGTGAGGTACGGTAGTCGGCAGTATCTCGGGAATCGAATCCATCAATATCCGTCTGGGTGGTGCCAATTCCGGTGTGTTCCTTTCCACCGCTTCTCTCTGCGCTACTTGGGCCTGCTCTACGCTTATTTTCAACCTGTCCAGATCTGTTTGTTGGTGGAGCAGTTCTTGCTTCAGTTCATCAATTTTTTGAGTCAAACTACTAACTTCCACCTGTAGCCTCTGTCTTTTTGCGCTCAAATCCCTAAGCTCATTATTTACAGAAACTTTAATACGTAACATCTCCTCTATTCTCATCTTCAATTGAGAAGCCTTCAACGGGGTAAAATTTTCGAAAGCTTCCAGTGTGGAAAATGTACGATAAATATCTTTATCTGGTAAATCGGATTCTACCTGGAAACACAAAAATGTGAAGCTTTCAACTGCTACGAAACAGATCAATCGAAAGTATATTCGCAATGTTTCTAAGTAAATGATGAAGTGGTGAACAGTACCTTTGATAAATAATAGTGAGTAAACAACGGCACGATAAATAAAACTGCCGTTGTTAACATTATGATCCTAGATAATTTGATATGTGTTATCCAATGACCAATTTCTCTTCCACTTCCATGTTGATGGTAAAGTGGAAGAAATTCGAATATACTTCCACCCATCGTGTTATAAATTGTCATTTACATTCGGATTGATGAACTTGCTTTGCGATTGTTCCACAAATTCCTGATAAAGTACAAAGAAATTCAGGCATATACATATTCCCTGTTTCGAAAATGACAATTTTTATTCTATACGAGACGGTAACATTTCTCTATAATAACAGAGTATTACCATGCTAATATTCATTACCAAAATCATGTTGATCTTAGAATACTGGTTCACATTGATGTATCGTGTGATCGGTAACATCGAATGGAAATATGTGCTTCCCGTGAATTTTTTTACGAATGCAGCAGTCACACATTTCATTATGGTTGAATCATCGGTGCATATCATTACAAAAGTACTTTGCAAAGATGATTTATATCCGATACGTGTATATTCTTACAAAATCGTCGATCATTTTATCTGTTACAATTGAAATACAGAAAAGGGTCCTAAAAACTGCACAAACACAATCTCCATTTAAAAATCCACGCTGACTCAATAATATGGAGAAAACAGTCTCAGCATCAATCAGCATTAATAGCTGTTTATTTATTTCCGCTCTTTGACGTATTACTTACATGTGCGTATGTGCATCAATGTGGGTATCGCATACGATCACGTACGATACTGTACGATACTGTACGACACCATAGACTTTGTTTTTATAGATGGGATATGTCTATCCTCTTCAAGGATCATTTTCAATGCAGCTTCCTTTAGCCCCCTCTATCTACGCCCGCGTTGTAAGATTTGAATTTTGATTACAGTGCCGCACATTGAGGAGCAGTGAAACTTGTATGCCTGCTTCCCCCTTCCGTATTTGGAAGTCAGTACCCCCTCGCCTATAAATCCACTTCATGCATCGTCCTTCAGGTCCATGCACACGTATATGTACTACAGTTTTGTTAGTGGTATTTGCATTTCTCAGGACAAGGTAGTGACTACTGACTGTTCACCGAACATGCGCATGTTCATGTCAAGTGTAGTGCAAAGGAAATAATATTTTGGCTTTCGGGGGCCTAAAATTAGCTAAAATGGTGAGCTGTTAACGAATATTTCGATCACGATGATTCGACGTTTTCCGTGATCTGATCTTATTTAAAAGGAAAATCATAATAGTCGCTTGCGCGCGTGTTCGTGAAAATATGCATTAAAAAACGTTAAAATAAGCTTGTCGCGAGTGAACGTTAACGTTCCCTCTTATATCGAATATATATCAATTTCGTGGCATACAATTTGTGGATATCAACATCGGGAATAATCAAGTTCTTATCAAACGTCTATAACTTCGTTGAGGGTTTAAGGTTTTGAGATCTCACAGAATCCTTGAATGAAATGGTGATGTATGGATGGCTTAGTAATAACAATAGCTATTGTAGACGCGCTCTAAACTTTGTTTATTTATAATTTTCGTAATAATAAGCGAAACTGAAGGCACTGTAGATAACGTACACGTATCCTTGCTCGATAACCAAGTAGTGATTTAAATGCAACTTTATTATTATAACGATCAGTAAAAAGTGCAACTTTTATAAGTATTAAAAACGTTCTATTCCATTATCGTTGCAGCATAAGTTAAAGTTCTCGCAAAGAGATAAAGTGAGGAAATTTATTACGTTTACACATACTGGGGAACAAACAGCTATATATTGTTTAGCTCAAAATGACTGGAAGTTAGATTTGGCTAGTGATAATTATTTTCAAAATCCTGAGGCATATTGTAAAGAACCCAAAAATACGGTGGACAAAAAGAAGCTGGAAATACTATTTAGCAGATATCAAGGTAATCGATCATATAGAAGATACAATGTATACATAACGTTTATAAATGCTTGTAATGCTTATATAATTAATAATTGGCAATTAAAATAGATCCAAATGAACCAGACAAGATTACGGCAGATGGGATAATGAAATTTCTGGATGATTTGGACTTAAGCCCTGAGAGCAAATTAGTATTGATCATCGCGTGGAAATTTCGGGCAGAAACACAATGTGAATTCACTAAAGATGAATTTATGAATGGAATGACAGACCTGGGGTAAATCAAATACTTTGTCTGTAATTGTACTATTCGTAAACGTCGAACGTAATAGTATGATTATTTTAGCGTGGACAGTATAGACAAATTAAAGGCACGTTTAAGTGGTTTAGAGAATGAGTTAAGGGATTCCCAAAAATTCAAGGACTTTTATCAGTTCACGTTCAACTATGCAAAGAATCCAGGTCAAAAGGGATTGGATCTCGATATGGCAATCGCATACTGGAACATTGTGTTAGATGATAAATTTAAGTTCCTGCCTCTGTGGTGCCAGTTCTTACAGGTAGGATATGTACAGATGCTTACTTGTTTCTTATGCATATACGCGATGTAAACATCGAGCCCAGAATGTTCATGGCAATGAACGCTTGTATACGTGTAGAGGAGAGTCGTGATACAACATAGTTAACGCTGTTTTTTAGGAGCACCATAAGAGGTCGATTCCAAAAGATACGTGGAATTTATTGTTAGATTTCGCGCTCATGATCGACCCTGATATGAGTAATTACGATGAAGAGGGAGCCTGGCCTGTACTGATAGATGATTTTGTAGAATGGGCACAGCCTCGTATTCGTCAGTCCCTCTAACATCCTTTTGTTACATCTTTAACGTCACATGAAAAAGAAGCTTTATTTATTCAACTATGAAATCGTATATTCTTCTAGCGATATTCGATCATATTTTTCTGATAGAGTGCGACATCATTTTACTTTCTGTACAAAGTATAAATGTACGTTAATACGAAGCAAGAGTATTATAATTATTAGGATCAATCGATGATGTATAATAAATTTGTAATCTAAACAAATTGAATATAAAAAAGGAATTTTGCATAAAAGTAGGAATCGATCCTCTGTCGTTCGTTCGAGAAGCTATATTACGTAACTATTCACGTTTTACGTAAACATTATATTATTATGTCTGTTTGTATAAAGTAATATGATGGGTGCCCGATTTGTTAAAAAGAAAACGAAAGAAACGGAACAATGACGGTAAGAAATGTTGCTCAAATATCGACGGTGTTTACACAGTAAATTACTTAAGAAGTCGCTGACCGCACTTCTTTACGCTAATTTGGCTTGGAAGGAAAGAGGGAAGGGGAAATCTTAAGAAACGTTTGTTTATCACAAGTTCTTGTAGATAGTGATTTATAGAAATTACGTTGTTAGAAATTGTTGTCGAATAAAATTTACGAGTTCCGCAGTATACTTGTAATATACGCATATATATGGTACGCACGAAAAACGAAATGGGAAAGAGAAATCTGTACCTATTGACCTATTTCGCTTATAGCGATGCATCGTATCGGCACCATATACTTATTTTTTCTATCAGCCAATTGTTTTGAATCATGGTGTGATGAAAGAGATTTATCCTTGTTTTAACTTCTATTCCTGAGATACGATCTATGTTGAAGAAGGCAAACTAAACATTTTTTACGCGTTCGAATAATCGATTTCGCCATTTGACTATTACTACTTAAAAGGAAGGAAGTAGCTCGCGTGAAATAATTAACAAGCTGACAAATAAAACGTATTCGACTTTTTAATTTTTGTTGTACTGCACAGTGTTTCCATTATCAATATAACATTCTACATTTAATGTTTTCATTGTAATTTTCACAGTGCACAACGTATCATTAACGCTTTTATAGTTTCATACGTAACAAACAATACGGAAGTGTTTCAAAATTGCTAACCATGTTGATTTAAATGTGATGCGGAGAGATTAATGAGATGTAATGTAAAGAAATATATATGCATCTATAAAAATATATTTATCTGCAATTCTCTGCGGTTAATAGATAACTAATCAAACTATTGTATTCGTTTAAGTATGTCGATATCGAAAGGTGCAAAGTAGAGAATTAGCAATATAAGAAGTATGTCGTCCAGAAACGTTAGATTATATTTTGTAAAAGATTCGGAATAGATAAACGAAACAAGAAAGATTCTGATACCCGCATTCATTGTAATAAGAGAAGTCCAGTAGAATGTTCTCAATGATCAATGTGTTTGCGCAATGCGGAAGAAAAATGTATGAAGTAGCGTATCTTTCGTTTAATTTATGATGAAAAAGAATATAATTCTTGTAATTAAGCTGCGTTACTTCTTAATAATTTGACCATTGCGTAAACACCATTAAAAAAAAAATTGTAACAGTTCTAAGACACTGTACATAATGTAAATAAATCTGTCATCTCGATCTACACGGGAAATGTATGTAATTATTATGCCAAGACGATCACTTTCAAACAAAAAGTTTTCGACTCTATAATAGTGAAATAAATGTTCAACTTAGGTGTGTAAGATTTTACCATTTTTTTTTTTTTTTCAATGTATTTATGCAGTCCTCAAAATATGTACATATGCTCGTATAATAAATGAAGAATCATCCTTTCTGTTTATTATCATGACGATGTTTGCAACGATTACTGCAGTTGCATAGAGAATTACAGCCAGGATACGAAGAGTCATGTGGATATAAAAAAGCTAGCTCGTACTGATTCGCTTCTGTATTGTAACATTTATTCAATATATCCTGTGTGTACCAATTGCATAAATGTTCCAGTTTGTCCATAGTTGTCTACATCATTTTTTTTTACTGTTAATTTGACACGCACATTATCAGTTACGAGTCTACGTGTAAAATCGTCTTTCTCTTTGTACCGCGTGTGCATACGATTACATACATATAAATTCCTACCTGTGCAATAACTAGTCCGCGATTTGGATTTGCAGCTGTACCGTGACTATGAGAATCGAAAAAAGTTACCTAAAAACGAATGGTTTCTATAACGGAATAAATTATGCGGAATAGTTTTCTTTATAAAGCTTACCAAGTACGTAATTTCTTGAAATATGAATAGCACTGTGCGTCCACAAGTGATAAGTAGCATAAACAAATTGCTAGATCTTGGTGCCGAGTACCATTCGCGTAAAAAATCACCCATATGCCTAAACAGACCGTGTTCAATTCTTTCGAAAAATACTTGGAACTTCTATAATAGATGAAACTTTCTGTATCGCCGAGAGTCACGGCGCCGTGCCGTTGAGGAATTAAAATTGAATAGCCCAATTTATACCCATTCTCTAAGCAGGCTTAGACTGCTGCCTCCAAATTTTAATGCCTCCTCCGTGCTTAGGTATGGATGAGAAACTAAACCATTTTTTATAATCCACGCGTGGATAGCGTTACCCTCTATCATAGCATCGGCTATGATACCAATGATCTCCGGAGGAGATTTCTCAACATCGCGTAATAACAATCCTTTTTGAGCTATTCCTCGTGCGACAAGAAGGCAAATAAGGGTACATGCCTTGCTGACTGAAGTGGAAGGGAAAATTATACGTACATCGCTAACCGTAATTAAAACTACACGCAGTTAAGTTTAAATGTAACGTAGTCGTAATTTAATTTTACCTTTCTGCCCGGGAGGAAATCGACTTTGCGAAAATTCTTGGTTGTACCAAATTACCAATAGGACATTATTATTCTCAAGATGATTTTTCGTGTACCAAAATGGGCGAGGGTTGATTAACGGCAATAAGGACATAACTCTATGCAACTTTTAGAAAAGGTTTTTATTTATCACTTGTGAATTTTATGTGCGAAAACATTTTTTTTTACATGTTATTGACTCGGTGTGACGTCGGGCACCGACGTTAGCGTAATAATAAAGCGTAGAAACAATAAATACTCGGTAGTTGGTAAAACTTGCATTCACCACCCGATACTGCCTCGCACCCATAGCTCAGCGTACTTGGAAGAATTTCTGAAATCCTCTTTTCAACCATTGCAAACTTTAAATTAAATATATTTTATATGCCAACGATTTGATTAATTCAAATTCATCTTCCATTTGCAAACGAGCTTCGATGAGACGTATTTTTTATGGATCCTTCATTCGGTGCGTTTCACTCCATTTATACCACCAATAAATAAAATTCGCATTGATGGTCTCCGGTATTTCCCGTATGTATGAACCTATAGACGGCATTACTATGAGCCAAACAAGTTATCAATTGTATTTTACTTTGCATATTATATTCATGATGCTTTGCTATTGTATTTAAAATAAATTGCAAAGAATTGTAAAGCCGAGAGCGACGTAATCTGAAATTTCCGCGCGGCATCCCATAAGTGCAATCGCCCCGCGGTTCACCAAGGCCGCAAGATCCACCACTTACTCGCCAAGGCCGCTAAGCTAGTGTGATCATTGAGCTATATGAATGTGATACCGTCTACACTCTATATATATTCTAAATATGCTAGTATTGGTAGAACTAAATTGGTTCTTGTCTCTGCTACGGTGGAACCAAATAAGGTAGATCTCTACTAAATAGGTTGAATATACATTCTGCAATTCTACGCTTGATTAGTGTCGACGCCTACAGTAGAAGTCATCAATGAAACGTATCTACATTTTAATTTTGATTCAATTCGGAATTCTGGTAAATCAATTTATTTTTTAAATAAAATAAATTCAAGTAGAAAAATCCGATATATGTTGTAACGGAACTTTTGTAGGATATATTATATCCGTATGTATAAAAGAAATTTATCATCTCAGAAAATTGATATTTGTAAAATCTATTTGCATAAAGTAATTGGAAATTAAAGTAAATTAACTTGATTTAGATATTTCTTGAATCTAGTGTAAGAAATTTGAAATTGAGAAAATAGTAATCAATATTCATTCATATCGACGACCTTAACGAGTCAATAAATAATTTAAATTATGATGCAGAAATGTTTCCACTAGCCACCGTGGAAAAATGATGAATTTATAAATGATCATGATTTGCAATTATCCAGAATGTCAGTAATTTTGCACGCTTAGGCTTGACGACAATTCAGTGTCAGATATAAAATTCCCAATGGACCGAAGAAATTGGATGCTAAATTATTTAGAGAACATTATTGAATTCTCACGTTACAGTCCGGTGCATTTGTACAGTTATAACGTATATTTCAATGTCAAACAAAGTGCAAACTTATATCATCGATAAATACTAACGTCTTTCCTGGTGTTCCATCCGAAGTTCAAAACCTCGAGCACCTTTATTCAAAACAAGTTACTAAATATTCGACGTGTGTCTCACGTTATTTGCATGTTGATTTTCATTTTAATTCGAGAGAACGGACCGTGCGACACATCCACTCTTTCCTTCCTCTTTTACCTAAAGTGAAGAGAAAGGAAAGGCGGATAAAATATTTCGAATCGTTAAACGAATTCATTAAAAGTCGTTCTACAAGCGTATGAATTTCTCATTTTGGACCTTATCGAGTGAATGCATTTCTGCATTTTAGCAAATAGCAATTCACTTTTATAAGGCCTTTCGTCATACTTCTTTAAGTGATAATTCTTATCGACTTACGCTGTATGTTTTTATTTTTATGGCATGCGTGCAACGATGAAACGCGACGATGATACGGTATGAGGTACGAGGACACGATACGACTGGATACGCGTCTTTTGAAATGTTTCAAAGTTCAGTGCGCCAGGTGTCGCCGAGCCTTGGCGGTGGCGGTGGCGTGGAAGGAAGGCGGCGGGCGTGATACGGGATACGACTCGTCGGCGTCGGGCCAAGCCAGGCGTCACGGCGTCAGTTCAGTTATCCAGCAGCTTGCTGCGAGAGCGTTTTGTCGAGCGCCGTGCGTAGGCGTCGATGCTCCTACCACTCAGTCCGTACCGTTTCGTTCTCGCGACACGAACGCGAGAATTGGCGCGTCTCGAATTTCGAAATTTGAACAGCCGCGGTACGCCTGTGTGGTACGTGCACGAGACGAGGGAGGCCGGGAACACCGGAGAACCAGCCAGCGAGGAATTTCGCGTTGATCGTGAAAGTCGATCCGGTCCGAACGACGCGACGACGCGGAATCCGGACGAGCAGCTTCTTCGTCGGAACTTTCATCGTTTTCGTCTCCTTCAACGGTGAGCAAACCTCCTTTGTTTATTCCTGCCCCGAGTTCAACGCGCTTCCACGACTTTTCTCGCCGACTTGCACTTTTTTAAACCCCCTCGCCGAATCTCGAATCGAATCACGTCGAGATCTTTCCGAATCGAAACTGTACCGTTATCAAATATACCTACTTGTACGTTTTTCATCTTTAATTCTGGAATTCCTGAGAATTCCAATGATACCAATGATAATGATTCCAATGATGATGATACTATTTCACGTTCCAAAGTAAAAGAATAAGGAACGAGTACCGATGAGTGCTATTCAGTTTCATTTACGTCACGTTTACATTTATTTTTACGTCGTTACGTTTACGAGGATTAATTATTTTGCGAGTCTATTAAATCTCGTTCAATTCATCGTTTCTTCCCTAATCGAAATTCGATAAGAGTGCAAATGCAAAATGATCGAAGTCGCTCTTCACGATTCTGTTCTACTAAACGTGCATGAACGAGAGACTGGAAATTCTTTTATCAGTCGGATATATCTCGCCAATTAATATTTGAATCGTAACGATCGCGATAATTACGATGCAAGATGACCGTGAGTCGTACTGTTACAAAAACGTGTTCTTAAAACACGACACGCTTGGTTTGCGCTTTAGCAGAGGCACACGTGGTTCAAAGTCGCATCGCGTGGAGTGTTGAGAGTAGCGCTATCTCCAGGAAGCTCTAAGTTTATTTTATTTCCCCTCCCCCGCTGTTACGCATTCCACGCTTTTATTTGCTTCCTGCTAATCTTTACCGTTGTGTCGGCACTTTTCGACCGCGGACTCTTGCATTCGAAGAAAACAGACATTTGTATTTATAGAGAAATTCAATGAGACACACGGATTGCAAGTAATGCATAAAATTAGACGAACGTCAAAAGCTGAGTGTACATAGCGACGCTTGAACGAGCAAAGAAATTTCTATATACAAACGGCGTTTTTCTAATGAATACGTAAAATTCTTTAAACGCGTTTTTCATTGGTCGACTCTTTTTCCCTGTATGATAGATCGGTGAGTCGTGTCGCACGTTAAGATAAATGTTGATCGACCTATTTTTAGATCCGTTGAAACTCGTATCACAATCAGACATTTGCAGTTCTGTGTTGTATAATTAGACTATAAATTTATGTGCGTATGAACTCCATATGTCGAAGGTATCGTAAGGAAACAGTTATGTCATTGATATTAAACGTTATTTCGTTTCTTCGCACTTTTGTCGAATTTCTTGACGAACTTTTAATTCCTATCGATAAGGTACACGGTTCGTAAAATATCAGTGAAACGCACGGTAATAATAACTTAATCGATGGTGTAGGTACGATGAAAAAAAACTGCGATCGACGATTATCCGGCGAAGCGATGAAAAATCTGCAGAGAGGAAAAATAGAGGCAAAAAAGGGGAAACAAAAAAAGGCGTAGTCATCGCACGATGAAGCGCGGCGTCGGCAGCGTCGAGGAAGAGTATACGTGCACCATTGTTACAAGTGCAAGGTTACATGCAACGTGCATTGTGTATCTGGACGATTATTTCCCCACTGCGGACGATCGTCGATTCGCTGTTTGCACAATACGAACGGTTCTTTCCGAGCTGCCGCTCTTTCAGTTTCATACTTGAAATCATTCGAGGAACAAACTTTGTCGCGTGATACGAACACATTCCAACGCGTACGTTTACATGTGTCTTTGGTTTAACACATTTGCATGGTTAGCACAATTTTTCTAGTCATTCCCAAACTAATTGAATAGAATAGTGTAGAACAGCTATACGTGTTTGTATCGGTTAGACACGTTATTGACTGACCGCGGATTTACGCTCGAACGGCTGAATTTTCCATTCGAATAACAGAACTTTTGATCGACTTATAAAAGCTTTTTTAACGGACCAGAACCTCTTAGCGATGTGGCGTTAAAATGAAAATATCAATCTACTTTAACGATCGTCAAGCTCATAAATTCGTTTAAGCAAGAGATTATTTACTTTTCGGTATTAATATTTAACGAAAACACGAGGTGTATCGAAGTCGAATCAATTAATTCTGCGACGTGTGAATAATGAAAGAATAGTGAAATATACATGTTTCACGTGAGACTGAATCAATTTACTAGGCGTTCTCCTTCGAAAGTAATCGAAAAATTCTCTGAAGCGCGGCTCGACGCAGCATGATTTCAACAGAACATTTATCGTCAAGTCAATTGCCCATGTAATTAGTTTACAGATAACAATAACGCTTAAGCTCGCGAATAGATTCGCGTCAACGGAGTGTTCGTTGTCACGCAAATGACGATTCTAAGCCGGTGTGGAAATGAACGAAAGCGCGGAAAATAATGTTGCATAACTATAAATAATTCGAAGAAAACTCGCGATTCTAGATTAGTTTATTAACTCATTTATTGAAATTCTTTCTATTTAGTGAATTTTCTTATAAAGTGATCGAATAAGAATCGTCATCTGAAACAATACGATATTTGCGTTGCTGAAATGCAAGAATATGATAATAAGAAATAAGAAATTCATATGAACCATTTTCTGAATCATGAATTATTTTATATGATTATTCTCAGCTAATCGATCTGTATACGCGATACCTACACGGTAATTC